ACTGATTGGAACTCATGTATGTCCCCATACGTAAACCTATTAGATATACCTCGTAGGTCCCCACATTTTTTTTTTCAATAGGGTGGTGCCGTTGTCGGTCCAGCTTTCGCGGGATTTGGTCGTTTGGTAGAGCTATAACGTAGACGAATTATATACAGAGAATCGATCGACGCTCGAGGCGAGGCAGGATTAGAAAAGTTAAATACCCCGCAGGAAGACGAGTTGGTGAGCTGTTGACTGGCACTGCTGTTGCTCCGGCAGTCGCGATTGATGCGACTGCTGCTGCTCGTGGGAACGTAGCCACCGCCGTCGTCGGTCAGGCAGGACGAAACGATGCCCGCCGGCGAGAATATCTTCTTCGAGGACTCGGACATGGCCATGCTGCTGCCGGGCTCGGCCTTGACGCTAGTGGCTCGACTGGCCGGACGCTTCTTGCTGCTGTTGTTGTTGCCGCTGTCGTCGTCGAACGGACTCATGGTCGGGCCTGGTACTTGCTGCGGCTGCGGCTGAGCTTGCTGCAACTGCTGTCCAGCTTGAAGAAACTGAGCCGGATTCAGCTGAGCCTGGTGGTGGTGGTGCTGCTGGTGAGCCTTAGGCGCCGCAGCGAGACTCGCGTTCGCATTTCCGGTGCTCGTGGCGGCTTCCGGCATCATGGCCTGCGAGCGTTTGTACATGCCAGCCGCGGCCGCGATCGGATGGGACAGATGATGCTGACCACCGAACGCAGCCGCTGCCGCGGGCGGATACATCAAGCCCGACATGGGTGCGGGCATGCACGGCATCGGCACGTAACCTGTGGGTTCACAGAAGTACAGGTTATCGTCGCAATCTTCTCTCGCGAAGGAATCGATCGGAATCGGTATAAATCGGTATGTGTAACGTACAGTATGGAGCGGGGGCGGGATTCACCGTTCCGGGAAAGCCCATGTGATGCTGCTGCTGCTGCTGCTGCTGCTGTTGATGATGATCCTGTGGAGCGATGGTACCGAGGGCGGGATTTTCGCGTGGAATCGGCGCCGCTGGTATCGGCACGTAGTAGATCGGAAGCATCTGGAAGAAGCCCGACGGGTATCGAGCCGTCGGTTGTGGACAAATGCTGCAAAATAACAAAAAAGCGCGTGGAGTTAGAAAATCGATCATCGGGAGAGCGAAACGATGTACGGTTGGATCGTTCAATTACTTTGCATTGGCGAAACATTGATTATTCACGTGGGCGCTAGCAGGTGGTGCGGGCCCGGCCAAGGAGGCTGGCATTGGTTGGGACAACAGATTTCCCGCTCTATTATTAGCTTTATTCGCGAAAGCATTACTCGTAGTCGGAATGGCTTGGCCGAGACTATTTTGTTGCTGCGAGGATTTCAATGTCTCGTCGTGCTTGGACACTTTGAAATTGCCCTCTGGATCTAGCGTTTGGCTGGCGCTACGCTTGAGCCTGGACGATTTGTTATTGGCGGCATTGTTCGGCGCCTGTCCGGACTGAGCGGCAGCCGCGGCCGCGGCTTTGGCCTTCTGATCGTTGGACTTATTTCTGATCTTGTCGCCTTTCTTCAACTCCCTGTGCTTCTGCACCAAGAGCGTCTCCATCTCGGCGTCGTGCTTGTGAAGAATGGACTCGGTGAGCAGGGGCGGCTTGAAGCCTTTGTTTTTGTTGTCATTGTTGTTATTGTTGCTGCTGTTGTTGGTCGTAGTCTGGCTGGTCGTGGCGTTGGAGTTGGTGCCGCCGCTGAAGCTTTGCTGATTGTTCGACTCGCTGCTGAGCATCTCGTTGCTGCCGCTGCCGTTGCCGCTGCCGTTGGTCGACGAGGCGGCGCACTTTAGATCTTTGTTACGACGGCCATCTGTATTTGACGAAAAACGGTGAAGAATAAATATACGCGAGGTTTGAATACTTACACGTTGTTTACCCTGTTTAAAATAAATCAACAAAAAAATCCATCTGGAAGACATGCGGATTCCAGCTCAACCCACATGGAATCCATTTGAATCCAGGTACACTTATTTTAAACAAGGCAATCGTGTGTAATTTTTCCCTGTCCTCCTTATCTCACCGGGTCTCGAGGCCGTGTTATTATTCTTTCCGAGCTCCTCGCTGCTGTTGGCGCTCGACTGGGCTATCTCCTCGCTGTCGCTGGCGAAGGGGCCCTTGGTACCCTGGACCACGACGTTGCTGTTGAAGAAGCGCTCGATCGTGTCGTTGTAATTCAGCTGATTGTAGCTCGGCGGCGTCTCCGTGGACGAGTTGCTGTCCAGGTACTCGTGATGGGGCGATATCTCGCCGAGCATGATGCTGTCGTGTTCCTGCAACAAGGGACAACGTGTTCCCTGTAAGAAAATTCATCGTACGATCAGACCCGGATTATGGAGACGACCACTTTTGGATTTCGATCTCGGAAAATTTTTCCACCTTCTCTTTTTTTCTCGCACTGATGGCATTTTTTTTTTTTTAAATTGTCGATATGTATTTTTTCTTTTTTTTTTTTCAGCAAATTTATATTCAAAAGTGGTAGTCTACGTGAAAGAGCTACAAGTTTCGAGATGATAATTTCGGTAAAAGAAAAAATTAAAAAAATAATAGCAAAAAAAAAACGAAAAGAACAAAACTATGTGAGTTATTTGATGAATTATGAATTACACCTAAGAAAGAACCATGTACATCATTGAGAAATAAAAATCATTCGTTGCACTGATGAAAAAAAATTAAATCTCAAAAAACATTACCATTTATGAACAATCCGTAACAAAGATATTTCATACCCTGTGCTAAAAAGAGTTCAAAATTACCTAAAAATTTCAAAACAATAAACACGTTGATGTTAAAGAGATTTGATTGAAAACATCAAATAATTAGTTATTTTTAGTAACCAATTACTTACCTCCAAACACTATTTGAGATTAATATATTAAATTCTAATCTGCACAATTGTATTTCAAAATGAAAAAGTTCGTGATTATTTTTAATTATCGAATAAATGGGAAGAAATTAAAAACTTATTAAACTTTTAATTAACTAATTAAACTTTCTTATTGCTTATTTTATGAAAGCTCCGTAAAAAAATTGCTAAAAGAAGCACATACCAAAACAGTAAATATTATGAACAAAAAATACTCTATTCAGTTTCAATCAGGTGTACAGGCTTTTTTTTAGGTGAACAATTCATGGTTGTTACTATTTTTTAATTTTTTCACGATAATTACCGAAAAGCTGCGGTCGTCGACGGCCATATGGTCCTTGAGCGGGACCGGGCTGCGCAGCTCCTGAAGCACGTTCTCCACGAAAGTCGTGAAGTCGTTGGTCTTGGACAACAAGACGTCGTTGTTCGGCGGCCGTAGTCTCATCTTAACGCCCTGAAGTAATGTGGCGCAATTTTGTGCATCGAAGCCAAATCACCAATCATGAAGGGAGAAAAACGGAAAAATAGCCCATTGTACATATACGGCGCATATATGAGTGATTCTGACTAACTTTTAAAATAACGCCTAAAAAAATTTTTGATGAAAAATTTAGCGGCACAGTATCCGGAATGAATTTTTCTTGAATATTATCAACAAAGAATCCCAAAAATAACTTTGGGCTTTATTTTCCTCCATAGTCCATTTGGGAAACCCGATTTAAATGTGGGTCAAAATAAAACTTCTTCAAATTTTCGAATGACACCGATCTAGATGCGCTTTTGATATGTTATAGTACATGGTAAAAAAATCCTAAAGCCAAAATTTTACTCCCCATCCCCCCCCTCCTACCCCCTCCACCCCTATAAACGTCCATTCTTTATTTATATTCATTCTGAAGCCCTGAAGTAATTAAAAACTCTGAAAAAATTCATAATAGTACATATCAACAAAACTAAGCACCTTGAATTTCTTCAGATTTTTCGAGGGCTTCGGCCTTCAGATAAAAAAATTAAAAATTTGGAAAATTTATATACGGCGATACGAGCTAATATCAAACTCGAAAATTTTTTTCTCTGTTTTATGCATTGAAAAACATGACCTTAAATTGCTTTGGATTTTTTCAAGTTTCCTTATGCACTTTTTGAAGCGAAAAAACCCCTTTTTCTTTCATGTGTTTTCATGTGACATTACTTATATCATCCCGCACATAATTATCTACGTAGGCGAATTGCGTAGTCATTATAAATGAATTAAATGTAAAATTTTTTTTTTACGGCCTTGCCCTTGATGATATAGCAAAATTTTTTAAATAAAAAAAGAAAGTGTGTGAAAAAAAATTATTTGTTGAATAATTTATTTATTCATGATAAGAAAAAAATTTTTCATGAAAAAAAATATATTTATAAAAATTTTTCATGAAAAAAAAAATTGTTTATAAAAATTGTTTATAAATTTCCCATGAAAAAAATTTTTTTTATAAATTAATTAATTTATTCATAGTAGAAAAAAATTTCATGAAAAAAAAATTTTTTTCAAAAATTTTTAAGTGATTAACGCAGGATTATCGAATGTTCAATCCAGCGTACAATTCTTATTAAATAAGGGACAGAGTTCTGGTTGGGCTCATTTTGTTCGTCTTTTCCAGCCCTTTTTAAACATGTATACAGATATAAAAAAAAACAATAGTCCATTGTAAAAAATGAAAATGTATAAAAAAAGCTAAAAGTTCAAATAATCCAGTACGCGCGGAAAACATTCTGGGAAATTTCCAATTTAGGAGGATCAAGTTCAGGTCACAAATTTTTCTAAAGTATGTGAATAAAGGAAGGTAACATGATAATTTCAGATCATTTGGTTAATAGTCCATTTTTTAAGAAGCTATCGAAAATTTATTTTATTCGCAGTACGTTTTTTGACTCAAGAGTAAAATCGATTTTCAAACGTGCGATACAAAAAGGACGGGCCACCAAAACGCTCAAAAATAAAAGTGTAGATCTCTCAAGTCTTCTTAAAGACCCTGATAAAATTTCAGAACTGTGCATGGTAAATTACCTGACTTACATATCAGTACGTGCAATTTTAAAAGTTAGTCAGAAACACTCATATACGTATTAGTACGTAGTTCACGGGTTTCGTGCGTGTCGAGGGCCCTTTACAGGGAGAACTGCGGCATAAACTTGCGGGATACTCTCATCGATATCCCCAGAATTTAATATATTGAAATTACAACTGGATCAAAATTAAGGGCAAGTATTTCTTTTTATTAATATAGTTTTTGCTTTTATAGATTATATTTCGGTTAAAATGCATGATGGCCTGGAAAAAGAAATAAACCAGTCAAAAAGTTAATGCGATCACAATATAGCCGTTCTATTTTGCGCATTGGGATCGAATAAATTATTATGATATAATATATAGACATGTAAAAAATGTATATATTTATAGATGGATCGTGGCATGCAATTTTTATAACTGAAGACTTTTCGTATGGGTTAAATGTAAGCAGAATTTTCGGGTACATTACCTGGACGAGCATGTCCTCGATCTCCTTGCGGATGACTCGCGCCTCTTTGAGCACCTCCTCGCTGATGTTGGTCAGCGCGTTATCTTTGCGATTGAACGGACCGAAGACGTTCGGGTCGACCGGACCTTTCAAGACTCGATGACTGCCGACGACGAACTCGAGCTTTTTCGTCCAGGGATTGACGAAGCAGGACCACTCGGTGTCGATGACGATGCAGCCCCCGTTGTGGACGATGAATCTGTACGGTTTCGAGCGAAAGGACGAGCTCTCCTCCTGATTGATGATCTATCGAGGTTGTGAAATAATTGCAAAATTGAAACAATGTTGACGAAAAAATCGTCGCAGCCCATGGTGCGAAATCGCATGAACGGTTGCAATGAATTGAAAAAAAAAGGTCAAGGGCTTTTATGGTCTTTGTTATTATGCTCACAGTCTCGTAGATGTCTTTAATGAGCGGTAAATCTTCCGGATGGTAGTAGCAAAATAGAGATCGATTGATCATATCTTGCGGCAGATAACCCATGTATTGCACGACGTCTTGATCGACGTAGGTATAATGGCAGGTCGCGTTGTGGCGCGTACTGAATATCGTGGGTATTATTGTTTCTTCTGGCCCTACGGATAAACGACACAAGAATAAAACACACGATTAAATTATTGCCCTTGTTAGAGAATTTCTGGTTTTGCTTTTTCCCCCAATTATTATTCTTATTTTAACATTTGTAACAATGTGTTCTCTATTTTTAACGCATGGTATGCGAGTATAATGTAGAAAAATTATAGTAATAGATATTTAATTTAATATTCAATATAAATTATCACTCGCTTTTAACAGTTGTTGCAAATTCATATTGCCAAACGCCAAAGAGCAAATAATAATGTTACTTTTAACTTTTTTTCTGATGTCACGAGGATCAAAGTTTTTAATTTGCTTAAAAAAAAACTTTAACGCTCATACCTTTGTTTTATATAAAAAAAGTTAACCAATTTACGCTAATGTTTGAATCCTTCATTTTCTCGAGACAACGAGTATTCAACCTCCGGTGAATATTGATAAAATTAAAAGGGACAAATTTTTTGGCATCAAGAACTGCAATACCCAATACAATGGCATGACTTCGTCATTTCGAGTACGTCTTACCTTAAATTTTACTTTGAGTCTCGGGATTTCGAGTCACAAACTTAATGCGGTAATACTTACGTTAGTAATTGGAAAGGCATCGAAGGATTTTATAAAAACGCATAAAAATACATAATTATGTATAATTTAATAAAAAAGATATTAAATAAATTAATAAATAAGATTTATTAAATTATTTCGTAATGCGTTATTATACTATCCATGAATGCGCGAATTAAAAAAAATTAATGGGAGCATTCACATAGTTTTTACGTATTATACACATAAAATTATACTTGGTTATACATAATTATGCATAAAAATATTTTGAATCTGGATGAAGTTGCAAGAGATAAGACGAAGATTAAAATACGTACCTGTATTTATACTATTTACCAAAATTGCTCAATTAAAAATTCATACCTGCGAATCTTCTCTACACAAACTCGGAAGGAGCGCTTACTATACTGAAAACTGTCTAATATATGATTTTTAATCCTAATTTTGTATCTCAGTTGCAATGCATCATCGCGATGCAGAAAAATAATAAGAAAATTATTCAACCGATCGAATACTACTACTTGAATAAAATAAATTAGTTAAGATTAAAAATCAAGAAATAAAGTCTTTGTAGAAATATTGAAAAATAATCTACGAATTAGAGAATGATAATGCAAAAAATATTTCTTAAAGCCGATTGAATGTCCAACATTATATCGAATCGAATGAATAAATAAAAAAATTAATAATTAAACAAAATATAATTTTGATGAAATTTCAAAATAATAATATTGCTCGAGAAAATGAATTCTCGTGTAGCGTACATGGCAATTTAATGAAAATTAGTCCTTTATCTTAGAATTAATTAATAATTTTCAAGTTCAATATTTAACAAATTTCTCTTTTCTGATGCGTTGTATCTGCTATTAATCGATAAATATTTTTTGCTACATTTTAGATACAAATAATGAGTTTACGAGCACCAGAACTGTATGAAACTATCAAGCTTTGGAAAATAAAAATTTTGATGAAACTTCATCAAAATATTCTAAGTTAAATTTTCGAACTTTATGAATTAGTTGCATAAGATATTGGTGCTGGTTTCCTCTGAATACTTATTACATAATATACATTCAACGTCGACATACCTCATGTTAATTTAATAAAATCATCATACCTTTGTATGCCGAACGAAGCGGTTGAAACGACGCTATGAGCAGCATCCTCGGGTGCTGCGACGGAAGCGAGTCCTTATCGGTGACTTGAAAGTTTTGAACGATCAAGTTCATTCGAAAGGGCACGTAGTAACTTTCGTCGCATTTCGAGGTCGACTGGAAAGCATTGAACTGTCGCAATCGGCAGAATATTCTCAATTTTTTTCCAGTTTTATCTGTGTGAAATAAAATTAGCATTCATGGTGTTAGTATAATAAATTTAATTTTTAAATTATTAAAAATAAAATTAAAAATGTACCCGAGGAAGTGTAATCTTTCCACAGAGCGATTTCAGAGGCCACGGTCTCGGTGAAAATCTGCTTGTCTCGGGGATCGAGAAAGTCGGTGAAAAATTTCCCTGTCCACGACTCCTTGGGATAACCCAAAGTTCCATGAAGCGAGGACGTCGCTTGCAGGACGAGACCATCGCGCAACGATATAACGGCGTAGTATTCTTCCTGAATAAGGTGGATAAAGTGATATTAAAACTGTTCAGTGGTATTGGGTTTACATCGTTCGATTTGAATTTAAAGAATTTTATGTATAACACAGAAAAATATAAAATCGTTAAATTAAAATTTTTTTTTGCAAGATTGCTTGACTCTAATCTCAATTCAAGCGTATACAATCGTAACGAGTATTTATTCCAAAATATTACAACGACGATTTTGTAATTATTATTATTTTTTTTTTACATCAAGATTTTACGAAGATTGGGCTCTCACTTATCCATGACGAATGTTAGTGATCGTCGCAGTCAGATTTTTAAAAAATAAGAGGCCGTATAGACAATGTAATCGCTGAAACCTAACGAGGTTCCTCAAAATTGCCTAATTATTTGTTCTAGCTGATTTGCAGCTTTTGAACCTTATCTTCTTTTTCTGACCCATACAAAGATTACAATATTTTAAAAAATGATTTGAAATTTCGATGCATATAAGAGCTTGGCTTGTCGCATTTTTCTTCGGACAAAGTCTCAGAGAAAAATAGATATATTCGATAAATGTATTTATTTATCTGCATTGTTTTCTGTTCTGCCTTTTTTTGTCTTTATTTTTTTTTTGTCATACTAACGGTGAATTGTGAACTGGACTCGTCGATGGGATTAATTTTTGCGGCCAGTCCGGCGGCGTCTGTCGCCGTCGTGGGCAGCAAGCTGTTGCTGTCATTGTGAACTCCTGGATCCGTGGCATCCACCAACTCTACAACTGCTTGCTCTTCTTCATTTTTCGGGTTTTCAACAAAAATTACCAACGTTATAACATTTTTTTTCAGTTTTTTTACTATTTTCTTGTCCCACTGAATGCTTTTCAACTTTTCTTTCGTACTTAGTAGATTAAGAGGACTGTTCTGTTTTTTATTCGTCCGTAATCGTGATATGGATCTTTTTATGCATTCATAATTTTACTTTCAACCATAAGAGCATACTATTAGCTCGTTATTATCATTATTATAGCTCATCTTAGCTCACATTAAATTAAGGCCTCACATCTTGAATTTTTGTACTCAGAAAGGAGCAGCTGAAATTGACGTTAACAGATTTTCGAGATACGTAACTCTCTTTGAACAAAACTGTTCTTCATTGACTTTACGAGAGCGAGGCGTTGTATGTGTCTGAGCAAAAGAGACGAAAAAGTTGCATAAATACTTACGCAATTTTATCTCGACTAATCACGTAATATAGAAAACGTAGAAACCTATAATTTTTTATTCTAATTCATCAACATGATAATCATATTTATGCAAAATATTTTTTTTTCGTCCAACAGGATTGTAATGATCAAAAAATTTATTAAAATACCGAAATTATATGAATCGCCCGCAGTCCTCTATCCGTACGATGCACTCCAATATCATTACGCATCGACCCAGAAATATTATCATTATTGCAAAAAATAAAAACATCAAACATGTAATAAACCTCTAAGTAGAATAATAGAAATCGAAAACGTAACGTAACGTAACGTAACGTAAGTCATTTCTATAAAAAATATACATTACGTTATGTGACAAAACCATATATTCTTATAACACATTCAATGATGATACATATCGATGCAGTAACCGAGTCTTTCTTCTGTTCGAAATGAAAAAAAGTTTACCAAATACAAGAGAGAGAGTTCAATTGGTTGTGTCATCTATAAAAGATTTTGTGTCATTTGATGCAATGTTTTTATTCGTGATAATTTCTCTAGTCATTTAAGGTAAACGTCCCTATTATGGAATTCAAAGCTCATAATTAGATAGGTAATTAATGGGGAAGTTTACCTTATCAGTAATATAAATCAGATGCAATATGAATACGCACAGGCTTACATCAAAAACCATACTAGAAAGTTTTCTCAAAAATTTTACCATCGTACAAGTTTTTACATCAGCGCAAGAAAATTTTTTAGAAACCTTTGTCGTCAGTATGAATTATATTTCGTGCACATGCGAGGTAAATAGAGAAAAAAATTTTATTACGGTCAACATTGAACCAACCTGTTTTCTTTTCGACAATGGGTTTGACCGGCTCAAAGACTTGTTGTGCGATTTGTGCATTTGTCACAGGCTCGGGTTTCGTATGGGTACAGCTGCTAAGGGCTTGCGTGCTCTCTATCAGGGCAGTTGTCGTTATGATATTCTTAGTTTTCTTCTTCTTGTGGCTCTTCTCCTTTTTATTGCTAATTGGCTTTGGGATAGTTTGCGTACTGCAATAATATCAATAAAATATGATTATCTATTCGATTTTAAAATTTTTCTTTAAATTCTAATAATAATTTAATACAATTTCCGATGTAGACACACGATAAAATTACATCCTTTCTATTTGAGGATACAATGTACTATTATTATAATTGTATTAAGAAGGTCATTCTAATAACTATTTCTAGATAATAAATGCCAGTACCTTTTAAGGTCATTATAATTGTTCTCGTATTTGTATAATACTAATCACTAATAATACGATCGAATCGAACATAATTTACACGTGTATCTATTATTCAAGCAAAACATTAATACATTTTCAAAATGATATAATATTGTAAAATCAATTAATATTAATCGTTTGAGAAAAAATCTCGACAATTTTTTTTCCTTACAAATCCAAAAATTAATCATTCTCACTTCTTTCTCATTTAATAGTCTCATTGGTTTAGAATATCTCCTATAGAGAATCAAGTGCTTCTCATGGCTTCTCGAAAAATATGACGAGCCTCTCTTTCCTCGAGTGCAAGACTGACCGATAAAGAGTCGCTTAACATACGGCCAACGCGTATACATGAAACGCGATCGTGCGCGAAGTTCCCGGGCTTTTTCTTTATATATAACATAAAAATAGCCACGTTGACTATGCGAAAAAAAAAGTTGCGGCGTCGACGTACTTGAGGCGCAGGCATGAGCTACTGCGCCAACTGACAGGCGGGCAAGCAAGGGTGCACGCGGATCGACACGTGCTCTTGTCGCCGGCCTCGTGTGTATATAGCAGCACAGCGCACACATATTCCAAATAATCGACAGCCAAGACATTACGATCGCGATTCGGTAAAAGATATATGCAAGTTACATACTTTGTTGAGATGATAAAAAATTTTAAATTGTAGCGTACGATGCTTTATTGATATAAGAACGTATTCACACAGTGTTGTTATCATTACGTATAAATGATAATTATTATGTAATAGAAAGACGGAGACCTTACAGCTACTTGACCATATTTATGGATTCTCATTTTTTTCATTCGTTTCATTGTTATCGTTACACATATAGCGTATACGACTGTCATTATTTTTTCATAGCATTTGAAAAAGTTGAGATTACGTACCAAGAACCCAAAGTTGACTGATTTCCCCCATGGTATCCACTGCTCGCGGATCTGTTACTGTTCCTTGATAGCGAATCCCCTTCGCTGCTGAAACAAAGTAAAGATTTTATTTTAATAATTTTGATAGCTATATCATCCTTAATTAATTTGGTCGGTTGGATAAAAAGTATCGAATGGTGCGATCATTCTTTCAATAAGTTTAAAAAAAATCGTTCATGTGTTGACAGAATTTCATTATCAAAATAAAATGATCGAATGCGGAACATAAAAAGTTTACGCATTCGTTTGTTGACTTTGAACATATTTCAAGATTATTATTTTTACCTCAAATCAATTGCACGTTATGATGAGCTGTTTTTTTTTTCAGAAAATATACTTATTATCGAATTATTTTGATAATTATAATTGCATACTATACGCGATTGAAAGCTCAAACTTCGACTAAAACTTTAATTGATAATTATCATGCACCGATGCAAACGTAATCATATGTTAACACTTCATTATTGAAGAGAAACATTAGCTGATGTACATTAACGATTAACTTGTTCTTTGTATGAAGTATATGAAGAGTAAATGATAAGAATAACTTTTGACAATTCAAGTGTACAGAATTTTTTTATAAATAAGCAACTGTGTTGCGTTGTTGGGTCTAAACCGAAAAGTTAAGGATGAGAGCTTTCAGAATTGTGTCTGAAAGAAAGCTCTAAAAATCGATCCAAAAAATGTTTCCGTTGGCATCGATCAATCTCATCCAATACAGTCAATAAAGTCGTCTCCTGCACTTCGTATAAAACCATAATTGTACATTTGAATTCCACACTATTATATATACCGCCGCGGGAATCTAAAAATAATCAAAGCTAATAATTTCCTCGCAACGTATATGTATATATAGAGGGTCGCTTCGCTGCTGCTGCCGCTGCTGCGCGTGCTGTGCGCTTGGAGAAATACCAGCGCCGCGACGCGTATACAACTTGTTTCTGGGATGCTTCATTACACTCACGTTTTTCGCCTCGTGATTTCTGCTCGTCACGGCCTGCTCTCCGTATACTCTCGGTGCTGTGTACATGTGCATTATACGACGATGCATATCTGTATGTACGTGTCGCGATCTCGCAGATCTCGAAGAAATCGCAATCGCGAAACGTCGACGCGCGCGTTGTCAAGGATATTATTTTTAAATTTGTACTTAAAGGGATGACGAAGCCAATCCATATCGCACATTTTATGTATAAAAGGTCACCACGAACCCTTTCAGAGAAAGTTTCAAAAAACCGGATTGAAATTTTGATTTATGGGTTGGCCTTGCCATCTTCTGAATGCAAGAGTTGCATAGTTATTTTGTTCGGAAAATGTCCGGTTATTTTAGGAGGGAAAATCCGAAATGATGTCGGATTTTGTTGAATCATGCCAATTACGTTACTTTTCTAAGCATTTGGGTTAAATGAGTAAATCGTCGCTGGATCGTCAACGCGCCGTTGCACCATTTATGGATTTCAATTCATAACTGCGTATTATATTACAGCCATAATAAATCGTCGGTTCGCTTAACAGAGCACTCTTGTCACTTTGCCGCTAATGAAGGCTGAGTTATTTTTAAATATCGCAGCTCGTTTGCACCCTGTGCGTTACGAGATTTTAATTGCACTTATCTTTTTTTTTTATTTTTCAATTTGATAAAAAAATTGCGTAACGTCATTTCTCCTATCTGCGTTGTGGATTCACCGAAATAAATTATTTTAAAGAGGCCTTGATTGAAGTATGCAAATGCAGATGAAGAATGTTCAAAAGCACTAACGAGAGAAATGCTGCATTATTTTTTGTAGAATATATAAATCACAAAGACTATAGGGGAGCTTTCCTTTGACAAGGTGCCAATTCAAAAGTTTGTCATTATTCGAAACTATAAGCTTGAATTTCTCCATATTTCAACGGAAGCTCTTGAAATTATAATTCATAAACTTCAACGCTAATGATCCCGACCTTCGTCGGTATCGAGCTTTCATCATCGTAAAATAATTGAAACGCTCGAAACAACGGAAAATAAAGGGTGATTTTATACACAACATTATAGTCCGTATCCTAATTGAATCATTCGTAAAGCTGTTATGAGCCCTTTGATTATATAAATTGCACGTCTTTGTGTGTGTGTATGCTCGCCGCATGCCTCTTTGCACACAGGCGGAGCACTGCAAAAGGATACACGCGAATCAATTTGCCTCGCAAAGCATGAGCCGTACAAATCGATGCATAAGTTGAGCCCATGTAACACAAAGAAATTTCACGTGCCCCCGGCTGCGCATAATCGGCCTTTATAAATTGCCCATATAGCAGGTATCGATATATTGCTCGAGCTCGATTGGGATTGACATATATTAATAAATATTATGTGTACACGGCCACACATGTGTGTATATTATTAATAAGAGCATGTGCTGGTTTGTGCCTCGTGTTAAAATATAACCAAGCTTTCCTTAAAATAGACTGAATCTAATATCTATTGAGCATTTTCTAATAACAAACTATTGTTTCTAAAGAGTAAAATAAAAGAAGTCAAAGCGTGGAATATATCGATCTGAAAGCCATTACAAATGACGTTGATTTTTTCACAATCTAAAATGATAGTTTATTCATCAGTGGTGATCGTACGATTTTTCAATATTAGCAAATGAATGATCTTACGGAACTGAAGGTTTCAAAGTTTAAAACAGCTAAAAATCCTGCTTCAATTATCAAAGGTTTCATCGTCCTTAGTAGTATCATTACCAACAAAATTCGAGCTTTTGGAGGATATCCATCCCAATTGACGCAATAACTATGTGAATGTTAGTTCAATAGTCTAGTTTATTCAAAAAATTTTTTTTAATCCTTATTCATTGAGAAAAATTACCATCTGGTGAACAATTCATCGCCAGCATTACTCAAAAATTGTCCAGGAACACATATGAATAAGATTACCGTCAAAGCGGCACTGCTTATAAAAAACATTTTCAAAGCCATTGGTTTGCCTGAATCTATAAAAACTACCATCTAAGGGATAATATCGATTATTGCGATTGAAAAGATCCTTTATGCAATTATGTTTTTTATCAATGTTACAAAAAATTTACTAAAATATTTGATTATTTTCACGATATTCACCGTAGAACCAGTTATGACGAGGCTGGTAGCTGCACCAAGCATTACCACAAGCATCATTGATTCGGTCAAAAAATATAAAATTTCGTGTATCCTACATAAGTCATTAAAAAAAAAAAATCACATTTATTGAAAAATAATTTTCATTGATCGAAACGAAAGAATTAAATACTTCGTAGTTCTTTGATGTTGCTGGATAAAATATTGAAGACTTTTTACAAGAAAGTCGTGAGCGTTTTCGTTACTTTCAGAAATCATGCAGCTATAGACGTTGTCAGTTTTTTTTAAATAATATCTAGAAGGTAGAATTGAAATTTCACATGCTTTATCGGTTCTCAGGATTGATTTTTGTTTTCTATTTCAGCAGTCATATTGCACCACTTACTGCAAGTATTTAAATTCACCAATGATAAATCCCACAGCTGAATACTGAAAGGTATTCAATCCTCCTACTATTATAACGTAAATCGTTATAGTTAAAACTTGGGCAGCGTATAAGTGATAAAAGTATTTTTCTTCGTCGACGAAAAACTCAGCGTGAATTGGTAGCTCTTTGTGAAACGTTTGATTATCTGGTAAATATCGCGTTAATAAAGTTGGTATAACCACTGGACCAAATGTAATGACTGCGTATATCGGGATGAATAGCACTAAAAACAATCATTTTTTTTTTTTTTGTAATTGTATTAATTTTTACGAACGAGTAAATTAATTACTAACGGATTAGAATCAGTCCGAAATGGTTCGATCGGTCGTAATATTTTTTGACCAAGCGTCGTCCAAATTTATCATTGTTTTCGAGTACTTTTTTCATGTTAACCACATTCAAAACGATCTGAGAATGATACAGCAATTAATGATTAAATCTTTTTTAGAATATAATTTTTCGGTACTTTATCGTAATTCCAGATTATAAAGATATAACAATACAACATCATTACTAAAACTAGCTCTTGAAATAGATCCTCGAGAAAGAGACTGCCGCTGGCACCATACGTTATGGTATTTTCAATCACTTTAATAACCTGAATATGCAATCAATTATTGAAATGGTGGTTCTGAATTATGCCCAAAAATACATACCCCGGCAATGGTGAAAATAACAAACTGAATTATGATAAATACTCGTCCAAAGAATTGAACATTTTTATTTTGAAAAGGCCACAGAAAGCATGAATGCATTATCTGAATTAATAATAATGACTCGGGAAAGCAAAATGTCTCAAACCATTCTACAAAAATGTCCGAATGTTGATTGGCCGACATATTTGAAAAAAGAAATCCAACAACGCTATTACTATACTAGTAAAATTATGACTCTTGCACCATATCACAGCGAAACACAGGGTGAATAAAAATGAATAGAAAATTAAAAATTAAAAATAAGTAAATCTCATGAAATTTTAATATTTTGCTATTAATAAAAAAAAATTTTTTTACTATTCACACTCGCGAATAATAGATTAATAGTACAGCGAAAGTAAATACTTTTGCCGGAGCGATGGAAAAAATTTTTTTTGGGGACTTTAAAAGCTGAAGCTGATGAACCATATTTTTAAGACAATATTTGCTCCTAAAATTGATTAATATATTGATTTTTTGACATTTAAAAAAACCATATAGCGTAATCTTTTCCAATGTGTTGAAAACTAAAATGGGCAATGTAAATTGCGCCATTGAAAGTAAAACTGTTGATGTGCATATCAAAATTCGATTAAAAAACACGCAAAATCAACAATGGGCGCGGGCGAAGCCCATGTTTATATCGTATATAACTTTTTTTACAAAGCACACACATCATAAATAGACATACCACTCGATTCTGCTACTCAAAAACCATTTTCCTCATGATTTCGTTATGATTCATGGTGGGGCCAATCGGGATAATGGATTTTGTAAAAAAAAAAACATTAAAATACTAAAAATCCAGTTGAGTTTTTCTTAAGAGTGTAGAAGGCGCGGGTAACGACGCACACCATTCAGTGACATTTTTTTCGAAAGTATAGTTTCTGAGGATTGTTTGGCGATGATTTGGATAAAAAAGCTCGATGGGCCTATCGGGAATCAGAATTTGAAAATTAATAATAAGATGCGTTGAATTTTAAAACGCATAAAAAACGCCGTAAAATGCATTATTTTGTATGAATTCAAATTTGGATCCCACTGAAAGTTGTTCTCAAGAAAAGAAAAAGTGGAAAATTTAACATAAACAATGCGAGGAGTGGTAAGCTTTAGGTTTTCATACGATTATTGTGGGGTTGACACAATTATCAAAATTTCACGAGATTTACTCATACACATCTATAATATTATAGTGTAGATCTCAAGAGTTAGCTTGACTTTGACGATTATCGATTTATTATGAACGACTTATTGCGTTTTATAGAATATTAAATTAAAAAGAAAATAAGATCATACAGAATGGAAATTTAAAATTTTCTCACCGCAAAGGTAAAGAAATTATTAGATGAAGGTTGAACTATTAAATTTTAAAGCTTTACTAAAAAGAAATGTCAACAACTCTTCATTCGGCTCAATCAGTTACAACAAGCCAGGAACAATGGATGAACATCGCCGAAGTTATTTTATAAATAATCGATCATCATCATCATCATTGGTATCAATACTTCATCATCGTTACGTGAAGCTCCAGCCAAAGCTGCAAATCTGTATTATGCTGAATATAGACACTCGTATGTATAAATCGGCATACATCGCGGAGACTCTAATAGGCACGCACGAAGCACGTTTATTTTCGATTTATATATATGGCAGCTTCAGCACCGTGAGTCGTATTAATAAGCGTGGCAATTGATAATCCTGAAATGTGCCAGTTTCCTATTATAATATGCGAAAAGTAAATCGTTCACGTGCTTTGTCCGCGCGAGAGCTTATATGTTTTGTTTCAGCTATTTATATCCAGGGACGGGGTAAAATTATACTCCTGGATAGACAATTGAACGCACGCGTAATTGTTATCCTTATTGACCAGTTTAAATATAAAGCACGAAACCAAAATTAAGTCTAAAAATAAATAAATAAATTTCAAATTTTCCAAAATAATTTCCAAGTGCACACGCACTCGGGTGAGTACGGCAGATTTTCTACGGCTTCTTTCTCTCTCGCGACATAGACACACATCTCAAGTTTAAAGTCTTATGAATTCTCTTCTAAATTATAAGAATCGCCTCTCGTTCCCTCCAAACAGACGCACGCAGGCATGCGAGGACATTTCCGATATGTGCGCACTGCGCACATGCTCTCTCTGCCCCGAGCTTTCTTTCACTATATATTAGGCGTTATGCGACCGTGATGAATTACGCAATGTATGTGCTGCAGCACCAAGAAAACACACAGCATGTAGATATAGATATACGTTAAACACACGTCTATGAGCATCGATATACGCACAAACAATTGCATTATTATCGGCCTTAATAGAAATCGGTACCTATAGCTAGCTCTGACAGCTCGAGAATCGATTTCTTGGCATTTTATCTTATTCTGTTTCTCTTTCGCTTCGCGCCTCGCTTGTAGCGGACTATTTTTTTTTGTCGTCACGCTCCGAGACGACGAGTCACGTGGCATCGACGGCACACTCGAGTAGTAAGTAAGTGTACTTATACGAGAATTTACATGTGCAGCTATAATATTATACGGAAAAAAAAATCGCACGACAATTGCGGATAACGCATAGAAAAATAGAAATTCCAATCTAAGAATAGTTCCGGTAATAAATGTGTATTTTATTATTATAATATTGTTGGGGAAAAGTATGAAAACAGACCTGGTGTGGGATTGGCTGTTGCTGCAGGTGTTGCAGGAGTATCCCGAATCGGAGATTTTTGCGTTCTTCGTCGAGGTCGACTCCTCGACGTTGCCCTGTTCCATCGTGATTGATATCTGATGCTTTCTCGCTTGGGCACATGCGTGAACTTCACCACACGAAAACACACGCAGCACAATGGATTATTGAGCACTGAGTTTTAATTTTTTTTTTCTTTTTATAATTCACCACAACTCACTGCACACTTTGAATTGTTTTTGTAATTGGTGATAAGCACACCCGAAAACCCCGCAAGAGATTCTACAGATGTGCCAGCGATCTCGGCCGCTTTTTAAAAAACGGGCCGATTTCGCCAGCTAAGATCGCATGAAACGATCGGTGGTTCGATCTCGCACCGGAGGTAAGACAGCGCGCTTGGCCTTGGAACGATTCAATGGTTTACGCGACCGATCCTTCAATATCGATCCAATATTAAAGGAAATCGAAGGTAGTTTTATAAAAAAAATCGTGAATTGTCGAGAGGTCGTCGACGTGAGTGTGTTGACACTTGCGACTGCTTCGTGACAGAGATATGTACTGACTCCGTGTATTGTTTAAAGCGTACGCCCGAGCGCGAATATGAATTAAGCGGAGAGAAGAGAGAGAGAATAATTGAGCGCGTGTATGTCTGTGTGTTTGTATCGGTGGCAGAAGTATTCTGCAGCCGTTGATGCGCAAGCGCTATCCGGTCGTTCAAATTGGATGCCAACTTAAAGCTGATAAATCGATCAGCTTTGAGTATCGATTTTGAACCGATTTTTTGTCGATTTTTGTAATTTATCGTCATAAATTTTCTTGAAATAACTACAGAGTTATATTTTTCCTCAAAGGGATATCTCGAAGCGAAGAAAGCTTTATTCGAAAGTCGAACTTGGATTGGCATCACTGCCTCGACTGCAACCCGTTCGCTGCCAGATATCATATACGTGGAACTCGCTGCCGAGCGTCGCAATTGCAGTCACGCGTACTGCCGCGTGAGTCCAGTGTTCTCGCGGCACACATAGGCTACATAAGCACACGGCCACCGACTCCCCCCCCCCCCCCCCCCCCNCCCCCCCCCTCATCATATATAAACTTCTCTCGCTCTTGGCGATTTGTTTACTTTCCTACATATTATGTACTGCTTCGAGGCGGCAGCGACACGTGCTTCGAGATCGTTTCAGTGGCGCGCGCTTGACTGGCCAAGAGAGGCGCACAAATACGTTTTTATCACTTAACTTTACTCACTACAATAACAATATAAAGAGAGATGGAGAGCTTGCAGAGAGTAAAGCGGCTATCCTCCGTATATAACGAGACAATTCTTCGCGAAGTGACTATCTCGGAGTTTTTGCTTCCTAATAGAGGGAGCTATGTGATAGGCTTGAAAATGAGATTTGGAGCCAGACGTTTTAGGAAAATTTAGCTTACATATTTGGAGACTACATTGAATTGCCAACAAATGTCTGTATGTGTGCTTGTCTTCTCGACCTTTTGGCTAAGATAGAAGTATATGTGACAATAGCTATCAATGTAACAAAAGATTATGACTAAAAATATGTATCTATATAGAAAGTAATCATGTGCAAATGTACTGCTGTACTGCAAGGGAAATGTACTGCAAGGGAATCTGACACGAAATTCTAAAAATCGAACCCTTTCATTAATATAATTTTTTATGAGGAAGCTCTTGGCCAATAAATTGGCTGCGGTTTTTTTATCGAACATTACTCGCACGCTAGCACACCTCCCATATGCATATGTAAGAGCTATTTTTCGACCGTGTATTGACCGTACACATCGTGTCTACATGTGTGTATCGATTGCTGGATAACATGTTGCATACGAACTGTTGATGAGCATTATTATTCCTATTTTTAAGAAGAAGGGGGGGGGGGNNNNGGGGGGGGGGGGGGGGGGGGGAGGGAATTTAATTTACTCGTTATTATATTGCGTCGAGGTAAAAGTTCGATTTATTAAAAATTTAATACCAGTGGAAATGATTATAATAAAATGCGGAACGTTGATATGAAATTGATATTGAACGTATAAATGATACTTTTTTATTACTAATCAAGGGTATTAAGCATAATCCTGAAAGTTACAGAATCATTTACGGGGAGGCTCTCACGAGACTCGATCAAAAAATTGATTTTTTTTGGTTACTTATGTTCCATCGAATACACCCCCGAAACCCTTTTTACCAAAATCGATTTGGTTAAAAAATTATAGGCAAAAAACCAGAGCTGTCTTTTTACGAGCGAACGATGTACACTGCCCGTCAATTACTTTTGCCATACCTGAGCAAAAAATGAGTAAACTTCAAAGTTTTGTATCTCAGTCAAAAAAAGTCGGATCGACATTTGAATACACCATTCAAAAAATCTTTGCCAGCACTTTAAAGCTATATAAATTGTGATTAGGCTCATTTATTTATTTATCAATTTTTATTAACAATTAAGGAATAAAAAATATTGTTTTTTTTTCTTTAGTATTTCTCTTGTCATTTGAGTTAGAAGGGTCGTAAAAACATTTTAAACCAATGGATTTGTTGGTTTTGACGAGACCTTCAAACCCTTTTTTGAAAAATTGTCCTTCTAGCTTTTTTGACAAATATACAGCCCTTTTACTGCGAAAATGACCTTTTTATTCGTTCAAATGTATGTACACCACGTTCGAGGGGGCGTAGAAAAAATTTTTGTGTACAAAAAAGGTGGGTTTTTATATGTACAATAAGAAGCAATAGTTAAAATCCGTTTCTGAGAAATTTTTTTTCGATTTTTATGCATGTTAATCCACTAACGCTCAAAGTGACGAAATTTTTTGTTTCCCATGTTTAGGGCCTTGAAACGACTTTACACATACGAAATTTTATGTAAAATTTAATGCCCTTTTACATTCTGGTTTTTTACATACCAATGTTGACTTTGAATGATCGCATGGGATTATCATTTCACTTATCACTGTATGTAATTGTAAATTGAATAATAGTTACCATGAATTTTAACAATTATATTAATTAATTATTTTATTGAATTATTCTGTCATAAACTTTGCATTGTTATTATCGTTTAAGAAATAAAAATATTACATCTCCGTGAGTACTTGTCTTAATATGTTTGATTTCATTACTATCATAGTTAAGTAATTAATTAATGGTGGATTGAGAATAAGAGTTTCAACAATTAGAAAAACAAAAGGATTTGAAATTTAGACTAAAATCAAAAGGATCAGACTGTCACACTTGCCCCTATTTAAACTTTTGAAAAAAGTATTACCACGGTTTTGAATTATTCTATTGTAAACATTTCAGTAGGCTACTAGTTTGAATATTTTATATTCCTAGACGAAATACACAAATCACTGAATAATCTTAAAATCATTACTCGATTCATACTTTTACAGATGACGGGTTACATTATAATTTGGCCATTAGCGCACATTAACTTGTCGCTCTGCAATTTGTGTAAGATCACATTTCAAGAGATACAATTTAATGTCCATGGATAGACATTAATGAAACAAAGTAAGACAAAGATAACTGCACAAGCTAAAATAAAAATTGTTTGCATGAATAGATATGGTTGTAATACATGTTACTAATAGTATATTAGCTACCTGCCGACTCGTTTCATAATTAGAACATTTGCTTGGCCCAATTTTAATGCAGGAAGGTCTACTGGACCTTATCATTATTAGCTGTATCATTTTCCTGGTTTTTATTGGATATTTATACCAATCAGTAGAATAACTATAATACACAAAAACGATAAAAAAGTTTTTATTTACTGCAAACGAAATAGGTTTGATGCTTTACTAGATTTGAATTTTATTTAAAAACTGTAACTTAGCTATTCTTACCAGTCGTCAAAAATGTCACCACTAGCATCAAGGATCATCTGCGAGGGATGACTGGACACAAACAAATACTCTGAACACAAGATGTACGCGAAGAACATTTTCAGAGCTAAATTAATATCTCGTTTATATTCCACTACCATCTACGAAAACATCGAGTAATGAACTATAAATTATCTTGATTAACGATTGAATAAGAACAAGCCAAATCGTACCACATATACAGAAAGGCTGAAGACAATGATCACATTCAATGTTCCAAAGATTGATATTGGACTAGTAATTGAATTTAATACATCAAAGTAACTAATCATAAAAAAATGCATTACAACGGAGAAAAATAAATGTCTATTTTATCACTAACTAGATACAATATTGGTGTAGTTGAACCAGGTCAGTAATATGTTTATGAATTTCATTTTTTTTTTCCAAAATATCCTCTGCCTCGGACAAAATCAAGATCTCTTTCAACTTGAATCTAATTTAAAAAAATAGATTGTTCTTTTATTTTTATAGATGATGAAAAAAATGTTTAATTACCCCATAAACCTAAATTTGGCTACCAAGTAGGCGGCTGAGAAAATGTATATAATTCCTAAACTTGAAATAAATAATTGTGCATTATAGCATAGAATTACTACAATAATAAAATAATAGTAAAAATGTGTTTCCTCATCAATGAATAATTCAAAGTGAATCGATAATTTTTTTGCATGTGTATTATTTCCGGGTAAAATAAAATTTGCTGTAACTGGCCATAAGACGGGAATTATAATGCAATACATATTGTAGGAACAACATAATAGACCTGAAAAATAATTGAACCATCACTTTAGTAAAATTTATCAAATTTGATAATTAAAATATTCACCTGTGATTATGTAAGATGCAAAATTAGCTATATTAATGTAATACTGTAGAAATTTTCTTTCCTCGGAATTACATTGAATCAAATTCCTTTTCATCATTATTATTAACTTTTGTAAGTTTCATGATCATATTAATAAAATTAAAAAAGCTTTCCATTATTTGCAAAATTCGTTAGCATGCTCTAAAAATTTTATGTTGTTTATTTTACCAATGCGAAGTTTTCTTTGTCAAAAATTGTAAAGTACGTGCCAAAAATAATAAAACATTGAACTAGTATCTGAACGCATACTTCCGTTGCTAATGTTATATCTAATTTGTTGTTGTTTATCATACGTGCTACGTAAAAAAACTGCAAAACCAAGTATATTTTAACTTAAATTCAGTCATAAACGAAAAGTATGCACATTTTTAACAATTACCGTAGCTATAAAAATTAAAACGTTGAGCACAAATGATATCCATAACCCATACATTTTTATGCCAGTCCAAAAAGGCCAGAGAAACGAAGCTTTCATAAAAGGTATTATCAAGGAAGTTATGTATTGCCCGATACATTTTTCAAGTTCTGATAAATCTAATTCTGTTAATTGTTCTAAATCCTTTTTTCCAATCGCTTCTTGTTGTATAATCGGCCAATATTGCAACATGTTCTTTACGAAATATCACACAACCTTTTCTTTATAATTCAAAGTTTCACTCTTTATTGAAGTTAAAATCGGTTTTATTCTTGATTCATTTTATTCAATAGTAATATGTTACATTATTAGTTACCCACGAGTGCAATATTATATTATATAAATATAAATTCTTATTTTTTATTTAATATAACTTTTTGAATCGTTTACACTCTATTGTGTAAATTCACAATAGATGCTTGTTACATATGGGTTAGAGTAAATCATTTACATTCAGTTAAAGCCATTACAATTTATGAATAACAACCATAGTTCGAGGCCATATCATTGTGTTTGGATTTATTTTGCAGGTAACCTACTCGTCTTGGTTTCTTGAAAAATGACTGATGAAACTTTAACACTTATTGTTCTGTGATATTAGGAGGTACCTCCACTCATAATTTACCGAAGAGATTCGACTCAAACTACGTACACTAATCCTTTTTAATGATATAAATGAACTTGCAAAATTGTATGCAAGTTTAGTACTTCGTTTAGAAGATATTCGTATGTCAATTTAACATTGAACTTTGCCAGTGGTTTTTCTTAAATGTAATATAAAAATTTTGTGGAAAGATGTTAATTTTTTTTATTATATAAGAAAATTCAAAAAGCTAAAGACCAAAATGAAGCAGAATTATTCAAAAAAATTAAAAGGAAAGTAAGTCAAGAGCATCAAAAGATTCAAAAAGCTATTAAAAAAATTAACAAAGTAAGAAAAACGATTTCATCAAGGAATGAATTAGTAGTAGAAGAACCATAAGAAAAAAAATTAAAAGGGAAATTATCGATGAATTCGAAAAGCCGAATAAATAAGGGTCGAGAGACAGAAAAAAGTTGTAAAATTAAATTTGTAAAATAATTTTTATTGTTAATAAAATAATAAAAATGGTTCAGTATATAATTTTTTAACTTTTTTAGTTTATTAATTTCATTTTTATAAATCCCTTGAACATTATTATTTATGTCAAAGCTAATTTTAAGGTTGTCCGAAAATTAAATAAAAAATGTCTGAAAACCAACGTTTTCGGTTTTTTTTTAGAAATTCCTCTCAACATAACTGAAAAAATTGTTGTAGGAAAAAATAAATATATGCATCAGAAAGAGCAGAAAATTTGCCAAAAGATGGTATATTAAAAAAAAAATTTTATCTAACGAGTAAGCTCCCCTAATCGATTATAATAGAAAATTTTCTTAATTGTCCGATAACTAGCTGGTTTACCCTATATTGATCAAGGAACTTTTCAAAAATTAATTTAATTCATTCGTATAACTACTTTTTATTTTAGATTATTTAATTGTCTTTATCCTACACCACTGCGTTGATCTCTATCTATAATTAAGCCTTCTTGAAATGTGGAAATTAAAAGAAATCTTGTACAATTTTTTTTCAATTGAATAATTTTTTATTGAATTAAAATTTTTGGATCAATTTCTAAGTACTCAAATATGTGTCAAGTAATGTTAACACGCTTAAAGAGTCGATTTTTTGCTAACCCCACTCCCTCTTTAATTTATTAAATATTATTTACTACAAGTGTCATCGGTCGTTGTAAAAAGCTGAGCTTTCAGGAAGTCGGATATCAAAAACCACTCAATCACTTAAACATTTACCCAAAAACGATAAATCCTGAAATTGTTGAAAAGTTTTATTGTTCAATACATGTAAGAACTTGAAAATAATGTATAGAAAATACCATTGCAGTGCATAATAACAAAAAAAACAACATTAGTAACGAATCTAAAAAAAAAAATTGTCCAAAAAGTTTCGGACCGATCGATTGAAAACTTTTTGATACCATTCTTAGCAATTTTCATGAAAAAATTGATTAATAGAATTATTATCTTAATTAGTCTCTTGATTATTATCTTGATTAATATTTAATTCGATTTTTACGTATCAATGCAATAGACATTGTAAAATTAATGGTAAAAATCTTCATAAGCTTTTTTTTTTTAATCAAAAGTTCATAATTATTATTATTATAGCTGCCCCTTATAGTGAAAATCAATCTGTCATTGTGGATCTTTAAACGTGAAATGTCTTTTTATATCGTCATCGAATTTTCGGCAAATGAAAAATTTGATTCTATACTAAGTATCTTATGCATCGAGATAAATCAATTGTTTTTCCTTCCCAAATTTAGTAAATTCAAAACTGTTTTCAAGCAATCAAAAATTCGATTCGTGACAACTCAATCCACGCGCGCGAAATCGTCTGCCAACCTCCTCCGACCTCCTCCTCCAGTCGCGTCGCGCAACTTCTCCAGCACGACGCAGCGAATGCGCGAAATTTCACCTATTTTCAGTATTATCGCGCACACTAACACACGTTTATCATCCCCTATAACACAGAACGCAACAAACACACGCTCACGGCGTAACGTCCGTGTTTATGTATTGTAACTGGCTCATCATCATCATCGACCGAGAGATCGCTCACACATTATCATTTTGACCTTTGCCAGTTTTAACGGGATTTTATCGCGTGGTTATGACTTCGTGGCTCGGCTGAGACTAGCAGAACACACGTCTATCCCCCGTCGTAAACACATTTTTTTATCATTCCACCTTTTCGTCGGATACGTAGCACACAGATTTGAGCTTTCTCATAATCGTGGCTCGATCGATCAATTTTTATATCGGCTTCGTATTACAGTTAGAGCTCATCCGTGTCTCCGCGTCTAGCTGAAAAAGTTTGTATTCTCTCTGAACGTGTCTGGAATAAAGTTCACCGGTACAAAATGGTAAGTGCCTATTACATCGATTTTCCACTTAAATTATTTATCTCGTGTGATTTTAAATTAATAATTGAATATAATCCGCGGGTTCGAAGCTGGAAAATGCCGTGAATTCTGCCATGAACTAATATTTATTTAGTACACTGTCAGCAAAAAAAATTGATTCGTATGTTGACATTGCCTATCCGATTATTTGAATCTCTTAACTTAATGTGTACTTTTAAAACGTTTAAGATTCGTTTTCGTAAATAAAGTTATAAATTGTTTACTTTTATCGAAAAAACTACGCGAAAACTCCTCTTTAAAAATCGATTTTATAACTTCTACATTACATATAGATTTATCTTTTCGCGATCAATCGAGCGAGTCTATATGCACGAATGGAATGCACTACAATGTCCGCAGGTATCATCTGTTACGTAATCTGAAGGATTCATTTATAAAAATTCAAATAATATGTAACATTGTGTACATGAAATCATTTGTTTTATTGAAACATTAGGCTACTGTGAAATGAGTATTATGGTTGTAAAACATTATTAAAACCCAAGTTAAGAGTAAAATTTTATATCAATTACTTGTTTACAGGCCAAACCAATCACTGTTGTTGTTACTGGAGCTGCTGGACAGATAGCCTACTCCCTGTTGTATCAGTTGGCTGCTGGTTCAGTATTCGGTGAAGACCAACCAATTGATCTGAGATTACTTGACATTCCACCAATGATGGGTGTTCTTGAAGGAGTTGTTATGGAACTTCAGGATCTTGCACTTCCTTTACTTAAAAGTTAGAAAAATAATATACTTGAAAATATTAAATTACAATGTTTCCAATTATTTCATTGATACTATATTATTATTGTAAATTTTCAGATGTATTACCAACTGCTGATCCAGAACCAGCTTTCAAAGATGCTGATGCTGTATTTTTAGTAGGATCCATGCCACGTAAACAAGGAATGGAACGCAAAGATCTTCTCGCTGCCAATGTTAAGATTTTCAAAGTTCAAGGAGAGGCTCTTGATAAATTTGCCAAAAAAGATGTTAAAGTTTTAGTTGTTGGAAACCCAGCAAATACCAATGCATTGATCTGTTCCCACTATGCTCCATCAATCCCAAAAGAAAACTTTACAGCCATGACCAGGCTCGATCAAAACAGAGCACAAGCTGCTTTAGCTTCTCGTATTGGTGTCAGCGTTGACAAAGTCAAAAATGTTATTATCTGGGGAAATCACAGCTCAACCCAATACCCTGATGCAGCTCATGCTACTGTCGAAAAAGATTGCGTTGCTCACCCAGTCTCTAAAGCTATCAATGATGATGCTTGGTTGAATGGTGAATTTGTTGAAACAATCCAAAAACGTGGAGCAGCAGTTATTGCAGCAAGGAAAATGTCTTCAGCCATGTCTGCAGCCAAAGCTGCTGGAGATCACATGCGTGACTGGTGGTTTGGCACAAAACCAAATCAATTCGTAAGCATGGGAGTTGTATCTGATGGTAGCTATGGAATTCCAAAAGACGTTGTTTTCTCTCTACCTGTGACCATCAAGGATAAAAAATATACCATTGTTCAGGTACACTTTTTTATCTACATTTTTTAAAATATTTTCTATTTAATTTTTTAATTTAATAAATGTAACATAATTTTTTTTAAAGGGATTGGAAATCAGCAGTCACGCTCGCGCCAAACTCGATATCACTGCCAAGGAACTGGAAGAGGAGCGAGCCGAAGCGAACGCGGTACTTCAGCAATGACTAGTTGGAGCGAAAAATACCGAAGAAGAGACAATATCCAAGTTATAAATTAGTTTAGCATTATACAAACATGTTATAACTGAGCATGATTCAAAATCAATTTATTTTTTATTAATCGATGTTGATGATAATTTATAAACAATCAATCCGGCACATTGGATATTTACAGAAAATGTGCGCGGACCAAAGTGGCTGCAAAGCCAAAAAATTATTTTTCGGTGTTACCATTTAATCAATTGAAAAAATTGGAAAATTTCTATGTGGGTTATTAATAAAAAAAGTGATATTTAAAATTTTAAACGATAAAGTTTCATTTCTTACCCGAATATAGCGAAATAGGGGTCGAATCTGGCATCTCAGGTAGACAATCATTCGAATTTCCCGGAATTTTTTCGCAAAAAAGGCCAATCCCTACGCGCTCGCGCACTCGCACGACGGCGCGAGAAGTTTACTCTCGGCACAAATCGATATTCGATACGCAACAATGTAAACTCATACATACACGTACCCGCACACACACATTATTATGATTATATACACAGATACAAACACACACACGAGTAATACGAAGCATTGGACGCGCGGCACGTTTGTATTCGATTACATACACCCATACTGTTTACGCTCGTTGGAGCGCGACGCTGCGCTGCATATATATAACCGAAAATCCATCTCTCGCCGTTAAAATTCTGTCTTGTCGTTATATTCCACAATGACGAGTCGCGTCGGATGGTGGTGAATCTCGGGGGGCGCGCGTAGTGTCGAATTAGAAGTGCATCGCGAAATTTGCATTATAAAATAAGCCGCCGAGCAGTGCGGAGCGAGGAAAGTTTTGCACGTCGCTGCCAGTACTACGACCGTATAACGGGTTTTCTCGTAAGCCGCCGGCGTGCCGAGCACGTCTTCGTGTTTTGCATGCGTACAAATATATTATACGTGAATAGGAGCGAGGGTGTAAACATTATAGTCATATAACGTGAGTTTGTTGCGGGTTTCAAAGGGCCGGTGATGCTTGACAAGAGCTCGACGAAGATGAGTTTTCCGATGCAGGACACCGTGATCAGCAGTACTGTCACTGGGCTGCACGCGACGGCCTTCATCGCCGAGAGCAAAGTGCAACAATGTGAGTTTCAGAAGAAATGAATTTTCTCCGGTAATTGATTTATCGAAGCAGTTGTTTTTTCATTTTCGGGTCACGCAGGTGGTACCCAAGAGTCATCGGATAATAATAGTGCCAAAGCAATTACGGTGGAAGCAGAGGTGGTATCGCCAATAACTTGTCACTCCGTTGGAGAGACTACTCTTTTCTCGACTGAAAAGTCTCTACAGCAGTCGAAAAATTGCTGCTCGTGGAGATTGGACTTTCGCAAAGCCATTTGTAAACTTGCCGCTAGTAATGATTACTTCGATTTAAAGAGATTTCTTTGCCTTTACACAGAGTAAGTGATAAGAATTATATTAAAACAAAATTTATTTTATATCAATAAAATCTCTGTTCTAGGAATATTACTGAAGATGTCTATAACAATAGACAAACAAAAATTAAGGAACTACAAAAGGATCTGAATCAAAAATTGTTATTTTTCCATTTTCACTGGAACAGTATTAAAAAAGTAATGTATCCAATAAAAAATTAGTGATAGTTATACGCGGTAGTTATGTTTCATAAAAGTATCACTTATGAAAAGCCCCAAATTTTAAAAATGAACGAAACGAATTTAAAATTTTCGAAATTTAATGGTTTCAAAGTGTTGTCAAAATACAAGATTAAAAAAAAATATTTTTTGGATCTTGATTTTTACCTTCTGTGAACTTATCCACGTATAAAGAGAGATTGCTATAGTATAATACTTCCAAGTATAAATTATTGAATCAATTACTCATTATGTCATTTTATTTCAGCATGTGAGCGATGATAGTTTCTATTACGAATGCATGGCAATAATTCTAAAAGCTTATATAGATCTAGAACTTGAACTATTCGAAAGCAAATCAAACTCAGTTAATGCTATAACGGAAAAAATTATCAATATGTTGCAAAATTACCTTGGTATTTATAAATTGGTTCTGAATTAATATTTTTATACTGTTTATTAATTTGAAATTTATTTGTAGAAAATAATGAAGATCAAATCTTCAAAGTTCTGGTAAATAGTAAACTTGCAACATTGAAACACAGATCAATTTGTTTCTCAGTATTCAAGTATGTAAATTTAAAAGTTATGCCTTCTAATTTTTGAAGAATAATTCTTTCAATTGTAAAATTTTTATTCACAGGAAAATCTTTCTGAAAATTCCTACGCATCAAAAGCTTGTAGCATATAAGTACACATATTATATTATTGCTTTGAAACTTTGGAAATCAATTTGTAATGATCAAGAAGAAATTGAAGAAATACATTCCTTGGCTTCAGTGATTTTAGGAACTTCTATACCTGAAATATGTTATAAAGACTTGGGCATTTCCTCTACATCGTATATAAAACAATCACTATGGTACATTGATGCAGATTCTATTGACTTACCTACCACAATTGTACATAATTTCTGTTTCTTAAAAAATCCTCATGACGAATTCACAAATGATGATTTTTTATTTTACAATTCAATAAAATTAAAGGTAATAATAATTTTTAATGACATTTTAAAAAATACTAATTAATATCACACATAATTTATTTCAATTTTACAGTTAAAAGTAGCAACATGTAAGCATTTGAAAGTAAATGAGGATATTCTACTGGGTAGAAATTTCACATCTATCAATAATATTAAAATTATGAAAAAAAGATTTAGACCAGGAGAAGTAGTATGTATTGATTTAACTGAAGATCATAATTTATACCAAAAATGTAAGAAGAAAATGGATTTAAATACAAACATAGAAACCACAAAAAGTACAAAGAAAAGCCAACTTTTATCTTGCTTGAAATCAAAACAGCTTTATAAAACCTCAAACCAAATGATTGAAGTAGATAAAAAGGCTGCAACAAATCCTTTTAAGACAGAAAGCAAAAATTTAGAATCTTTTGATCTTAATGGATTGAACTCAAGTCTAAACAAATGTGATAATTATAAACTTAAGGATACATTAATATTAAGCAATACTAATGGTATTTATAATGACAGTGATATTTCTGAGGATAGAACACATCAAAATAATGAGATTTTTAGTAATTCATTTAGTGACTATTTGAGTAATACTTCAATCAGCTCACAATTTTTAAACCATAGTGAAGGACTTTATCCCTCATGTTTGAGATCGACTCCAGAATTCATCAGTGAGATGCCAAAAGATTATGTTCCCTCATTATTTGATTTTAGTTTAGATGGAATCGGTTCAAATTTCTCTCCAAAACCTATTGAATCTATTGACCCATGTTTAACTCATAAAGATTTTCTTTTATCTGAAATTCGAGGTCAAGATTCATCTGGCTTTGATTTTAGTGAGTTTGATGGGAAAAATGGTGTACCGTTGAATTCAGAATTTCCATTAGATTTTGAATTAAACTACGATGATTCAATCAATGAAAAGAAGCTTATCTCGCCAGCTAAGAAGAAAGAAGTGAATACTGTTTCAAAACTTCCACATGAAGAGAAATGCGACTTGCCTGAAGATTTAAAATCAAATAGTTTCAGAAAATTTGAAAACGTTGAAATAACTAGTTCTCAACAACAGGAAGAAGAAAACGTGAATAATTCTCATAAATTTGAAGCTCAAATTTCGCCTTTGAAGAAAAAACCAGGAAGAAAAAGAAAATCTACAAACTTCAAAGAAGATTCATTCATGAAGATACTTCCCAAGACTGATATTCCAACAATTGAAGAAAATGTTAAAAATCAACTTGAAGGTAGATTTTGCTTGTATCATTTTGAATTGAATTTGAAAATGAACATTTATTTTTATTGGTATAAAGTCGGTATCATTTAACGTGATCGTCACTGAAAAGTTTCGATTCTACTAAACGTGAATTTTTTAAAATTTTTTCTGAAAATGAAGTTTACTATAAAAATATTTACCGCGAAAAAGACTAAAATCTTTTTGAAAAGGTAACACAGTTAGCTTCTTGAAGAATGAAGCTTATGGTAATGACAATTTATCATATATAATTTAACTATTGCTATCTCTGGAAGATTTTTTTCATAAATTTCATAAAATTTTATCCAATAAAATTTATATTTTTATTTTTCAGCTTCTTGCAAGAGAAATAGTGGTAACAAGAGATCCCCTCGTTTGAGAAATTCAAATAGAAGTTGATTTCCTGAACGTTAATAAACTTCGTTCAAAACAATGTATGCTTAGAGTACTTTTTTACTGCATGTAAGTAAATTAAATTTTCAATGTGAAACATCTTTTTCAATGTCTTTAGACACCATTTTTCTGACATTTATAATTATAATTCCGTTCCTATAGATTGTGTGTAAATGGTTGGAAATTAAATTACTCAAATAACTTGCCAACAAAAATTGCCATAGTGATCCTATTCAGATTATTTTAAGCTAGATTATCAAGACTACTTTTTTACCCAGATTATTTTTGACTAAAACTTACATAGAATTATTTTTTACTCTTTTAAGATTTAACGACTGAAAATTTAAGTAATAGTACTCAACCGCGGTGTGATGTAAACATTTTGTTAGGCTGTCCAAATTAAATGTATTTTTTACATTTGTAACGATGTACTTAAGTATACGAGTATTTTATTGATTTTATCGTAAAAATATGATTTTAATCATTCTTACCATTATTAGTATTTAGGAATTTGTAAATTCCAATAACTTTTATTGATTTTATAGTTTTAAATTATTTCTTAGCTCCATATTTGTTCTTCTGTTATTAAAATAATTTATAAATAAGGATTGTAAATTGTGAATAATATTAAAAAAAAATTCATGTATTTATATGTAAACAATAAAAAACACAGCTAGAAAATGTTAAGGAAAAGTTAAAAATATTAAAAAGTATTTATACCTTAATTACTGAGGCCTTAGTAATTATACCCTTACCCAAAAATCGTTTTAACAACTTTTTAAAACAAAGTGAAAAAATTCTTTTAATATATATTTTATTATAGAAATATATCGATACATAATTAATCAATAATTACAACTAAATTTTTTTGGAACAAAATAAAGCCACTATAGATATAATTTATAAGTACTAACTTATTTTATTCAACATGAAGTTCACTTTAAGTTTAAATTTTTCATTCATTCAGTACGAAAAAACATGAATGATCAAGGATATTTTGTACTGTTAGCGTCCCTTTTCCGTAGTTTTAGATATTTATAATTTTTAATAAAGTATGATTGATGCGCTTTTCACTGAATTTTTGAAAAAAATACTTTATAACAGGATAAGGAAATAAGTATCTTTTCCATGGATTTATTATACTACAGTATATCGGCACTCTTTTTACATGGAATCAAAAAGTACAACTAAGATTTTATATTTAAAATGCTTTGAATAGAGTATAAAAGTTACTTTACATAGTTTTTTCAAAGTACATTATTACATAAATACTTTTTTTTACTTGCAATAATAATCTAAGTTAAAAATATCGAGAGATACTTAAGCAGTATATTTCATTGCACTCTTCAAGTCTATCAAAAATTCGAGCATGGTTTTTACCACATAAACAATTTCATGATTTTTCAGATTTAAAAAGCAAAAATAACAAACGATGGAAGACGAAAAAAAATTCTAAAAACAAGATACTAAAGCGTCAATTTTTTTTTTGCTTTGGGGTACGAAAGTTATCTCATTCATACGCGCAATAAATATCCCATTCTCTGCAGTAACCATACATTTAAAATTATCCGCTTTTTTACACCCAAGTCACAGCCTGAGCTCAGCTGGCGTTCGAAATATCTATATCCACGGCTTCTTCCTCGTTAACTAATTGTTTCTTATCCTCTTTCGTCGAAGCTTGTTTCTTTCCCTTGCCGGGTTTGCCCCGATTGATCACACCGTTCTCCTCGTCCATCATGCGGAGGATTTGAATCTGATCGGAGCTTTCCAGCGGTGCTATCGAGATGTCACGAACGGCTCTGAATTTACCGCAGTTGTTCAAATGCTCGTTCTCCAGGCGGAAAAAGTTCCAAACGAAGCGTCTGAAGATAAATCAATCCAAATAGTTTAATAAAGTAATTATTACTAAATTATTACGTAAAAAAATTGTACCTAAAAACTTCGCAAGGGGCGAAAATGGAGGTAAGCATATCGTTGGTAGCGTAGCCGTATTCGGTCAAAAAGAAACTTGGAATCCACGTGAATCTCAAAACAAGATCTTCGAAAATGGCCAAGTAGTAGAAGTACTAAAATAAAATTTATACATATTTTTTTAAACAATTAGAAATTAAAAATTAATGTAAGCGTTGTTCTGATAATTACAGTTTCTGAATAAACCACTTCTTCTCTCAAAAATTTATTTTCACCAGCATTGGCATCCAAAAAGCCCCAATCCATTTTAATATCCCAAGCATAAGTGTAGATGGAATTGATCATGCAACTGGCCAACCAAAGCCAAAGCCATGGACTTTCCCAAGTACCTTCGTATTTGTCTGAAAATAACGAAACTTTTTTAATAAAAATATCAACATTACATATAAAAATACATTATCACAATGATTGTCATTTATTCTAACATGCAAACATCAATTGAATTATTCAATTTTTCTACCTGTAAATATCATTGGTTCTTCTCCTATGGTAAGCATGTGCAAATTTGAAGAAAAATTATATTCTTCTAATTCAAAAGTTTATATTGAATAAATTACACTCAACTATTAAACATTTTTAATTCACACTCACCTTCGTGATAAGTTCTTAAAGTAAGGGTAATGACTACTAAAAATGTCGTTGCGTATTTCCCAGCATTGCATAAGTGAGGAAAAGCCTCCCTGGTATCTTTGTATCTTCTCATACACTGTGCAAAACGAAACCAAGCAGGCAAACAATTAACTAATGGTCTGATGAAATGGGAGCCGGATGTGCATTGAGAAGTATCGCTGCCAGCTTCAAGCCAATTTCCATTAGTTATGTAAAAACATACTAAGAAATGGAAATCCAAAAACACAACAGCCAAACTGTTAAGTTGGTCAGCAAGCCAGAAATCGGCAAAGTTGACGTAGGCAAATGGTGCTATAACAATGCGCCACTAAAAAAATTGTAATCACAAGAATTAAAATCTATTTTTGAAACAAAACGTTAAATTATAATCAAATTGTAACTTACCATTATTTTGAGTAACCAGAATCTAGCTTCGTGTCTGAATATTTTAAAGGGATTCAATAGAAAAGCTAGCATTATGACTGTTAATGCAAGGGGATTCACATAAGGTGGTATGCTAAGACTTGCACTATACAAAAAACTAAGTAAACTCAAGGTCCAAACAACACCTAAGACGGCTGCCAATTCCATGAGATGCTGTTCTGATAAGTGATTTCTGGGATCAAGTTCAAAAATAAGTACATGATTTACACCAGATGATCGCCATCCATAGACATTGACACCAATTAAAAATAGGAACTGAACTATCAACATGGGTCCTCGATACAAACGAAATGCAATCATGAGATTGTCACCAGTATCATGGAATATGCTAGATAGTATTACTGCTACTATCAGTACAATAAAGCCACCAGAAAAGAGACCAACTTTGAAAGTTGTCCAGGGGCTTTGATGCTCTCCTAATGGTGGCACACGAAGTCTTTTCATGGCACGTTGGCGATCACCACCTTCTAACTCATTTGTAAAAGTTGCTTCAGTATCTTGAATAACTTTATCTATATCCTTTGATGTAAAAAAATGAGATGTTTCAACAAATTGTACTCTCCAAGCTGAGCCATTCTCTGCATTTAATAGCTAGAAACAAATTATTTTTATGAAAAAATGTTTTCATGAAAATAGATAATAAATAAACATACTTTATCGTGCTTCTTCAAGATTTTTCTAAAACCAGTATAATTGAGATTTTGATAATTTTGTAGAAGAATCAGCGACAAGTAAAATTCAGAGAAAGCTAGTTTAAGCTCTCTTAATTTTCTTGTTGGTACTAAGGCTTTTGCTCCAGCCTTGTCTTTAGATTTTGCTCCTGGCTGGGCGTCTAGAGAAATCTTTAAATCGCTTATTAGCGTAGAATACTTTCTTGTAGCTTCAGCCATTTTTTCTGTAAAATTAAAAGTATTCAATAAGTATGTGTATATTTTTATTCTTGTATTAAAGGATGAATGTTTAAAAATTACCAGAATAAAAGGTGTTGATTTTCTTGAGTTCATCTTCACAAAACTTGAAAAATCTTTCATCAAAATTGCAAAAATGCCTAACTATAACTTCAGGTTCTACAGTTTCAGCCGATGGTGCTGCTTCTACCACTGCGTAGAGCATTGCCTTCATTTCCTAAAAAGTAAAAAACAAAATTTAAAACTTTTCATAAAAAAATTAATTAGATAATCAATATGATTTTAATTTACCTCATAACTGATATATTGCTTGCGCCACTCTGGTGTTATGTGGGCAGCAAGATGCTCCGCGAACTTCATCTTGAATAGTTATTTGTAAATGTATACTTCTGCAAAAAATAGATGAAAACTTTTGTTAGTTGAATAATAGCATTATTCTTAGCCAAACTAAATCATTGTAAAGCTCTTAAACAAAGTACTCGTACGCTTGTGTTATTTTGTGGAGACAAGATAATTTTTATTTATAACTCAATAAACCAATCTGAAAAGCTAATATTTGCAAAAAAACTATAAATGAAACAACTTTAAGGATCAGATAAATTTAACCTGTTTACCCTCAAAAAGTTTATGAAGAATCAAGATAATTATAAAGGGCTTAAAATCTGTGAAGTATCGATACAGAAACTTTAAAGATTTATTACTATAACGGCAAAGATAAACAAAGAAAACTCACGGATAAAGGCAAATTGTTATTTGCAAAACGAGCTATCATTGAAGCACATCCAGAAAAGCCGGAACGCGCAAAAATGGAGAGAAAAAATTGCCAAAAAAGTCAGCTTCGCATGTGAGAGTCAGGTGTTCGATTAATTTACGACTGATTATCGGCTCTCGCTTATAAGATCACATTAACGCGGCTGTAAAAATCATCGACGCTCAATTCGACGATCGTGAATGAGATAAGCCAATAACAATGCAAACACAGAGGCTACAACACTGTCACACATATACACGACACACACGCGCGGGCCGCGACTCGCAAAAGCAATTAAGCACAATTTTCAGCGTGTAAGACAACGGGTTGTAAATTCTCACCAAGAAATGTGGCTCGATTTATTGCTGCTGTACGTATATTTATGGTCAGAAAAATACTCGATGTGTATCTCGGGCGGCCACAGTAGATAAAGCTCGCGGCCGCTGCTGCGAATCGCAGCTACGCATTATTTATCCCAGAGAGAGACCGCGGGACCGCTTCTCTCGATAAATGCCTCGATGCGTCTTCATCGAAACGAGCACGATTGTTCGTCTTTGCGCGAAATATTACACTTGTTTCTTCTGTATACTCCTACGCCGTGTAGCCTGCGAACGACGAGATACGTTTGTTGAAGCACAGTATATGTAAACTGACAATCGCTGCGCGAATCACGTGACAGCTTATACCAAGAGTGTATACGGTCTGCTTGAGAATATATATAGGTATAGTTAGGGCGGTATAGCAGAAATGACGTCTAGGACGACTCTGGCAGCTGATGTGTGTATAACAAAAATAACACGTGCCCATACAGCGCGTAGCACAGTGGCGGTCGAGCCGCTGCCGCTGCTGCTACCGCTACTGCCTTCGATTCCGCAAAAATCAATTCGATCGAGCGGTCTTTTGTCGCGATCCTTGGGGTTTTTCTTTTTGTAATTTTATCATTTTATCAATTGCAAAACTGTATTTGTTTTGACCCGATTTTATTATAGGCTGAAATCACTTTCCGCGACATTTAGCATGTGTAACGAGTCGATATTCGTTTTACGATAACAATTCAATTTCTGTAAGCGTAATGGCAACAAGTTTCTCTCGCTCTCTTGCGCGTAAGTATTTTCCTATGTACTCGTTATAAGCTCGATGCACAGACAAAAGCTCCACATTGATAATACGTAACCAGTGCGCTACACTCTGCGTTGCCGATCGTAACGAACGAAGCCGCTTACACCGCCAACGAATAAGCGCGAGCTCGAAGTCGTATCGGTATTTATCAATTAACCGTCCATCGGTGCGATCGGAGCAGAAAAAAAAAGTACAAAAAGAATCGGCTTGCTCTCCGATGGAAAAAATTAATCGATACGCGTATCGGCGAACGATACATTATACCTGGGGTATGATTTTGTATTCGTTTACGTACCGCGAGCCAACGACGATCCAAGCGTTAAAAAATGTCAAGCCCGAAAATAAATAAACAGGTTTTTAAGAGTATACCGATCTTAAAATAGTGAAAGTTCGTGTACCGGAACGTGCCGGGTAAGGAAGGCGCCAAGCGACGACGAACGCAACGATGAAAAATTTACATTATTATTATCGCACGAGAGTGCCTAATATCCAAATATCATTAGGCTTCTGCGGTTATCAATCTCTCGAATCTCGATACTGCAACCTTGGACTTATAGTACATGCACATCGTGGCGAGGTCACGCAAAATATTACGTAATTGCCTGGGCAATTATATTTTCCACACACATAATACGCGTGCGAGCTTATGACACTCGATGCTGTGCATGTTCATACAATAACATATACGTAAATCGCTTGCGTCTCTCGGAGCAGTTTTTGTCTATAATAGTGTTGCTTATAATCTCTCTGCACGCGCACGATGAGATTAATATCTCTTCTTCAACGCGGAAGTACATATTCCAAGTATAAACGCGCCGATTTGTCTTGTAGCGCTGTATAGTGCAACGAATATAGAAGACAATCCATTGTCACGTTTTTTCGACTCTTACGGCAGCTTAAAGCGGCGGAGGCAATTGTCGGTTAATTTTAGCCGATGCTCTGGACGACATTCTCGAAATATATCGCGCGTATAGGTACCTACGGTGCGCTGGCCCGCGGTCGCATCTGTATATGTGCAGCTCGAGAACGCGCCGAGCTTTCGACATAATGCGATGCTCCCGTGTGCACGGAGCACACTTGTCGCGTTCCGCCGTTCCTTTCGGACTTTGCTCTAATTCTTTTTAACTTTCGCGCTCGAACGCGGAGTATATAGTCTTCTTAGCTGCTGCTGCAAGTTCGACTATGTTGCGGTGTGTGTGTGCGGCGCGCGGCAAAATCCTCTGCGTGCTGCAGTGACGGCTCGTCAATTTTTAGCTCCCCAAGACTCCGAACCTGAAGCGCACGGCGCCCGCGCGCGTCACCACGGAGTCGAGCTTTTTGCTTTTATTTTAATTAATGTTACATCGTATTTTCATCGATTGGGCTAGCTGGTCGGAATCGAGCAAAAAAAAAAAAAAAAGGAAAGTCAAGTACACGATGCACGCATAATATATATCGGTACACGTCGAACCTATGATGTATCGCCTGTATTAATTTGTTATCGTTAAAAACGTGACCCGAGCGAGTCATTGAAAATTATAATTCCCGATAACGTCTCGGTACGTCGATCAAATTTCGTATCGACGAACCCTCGACGAAAGAAGTAAAAAAACACGATAAAGATACGCACGCAAAAACATCGTCTCGCCGCTTTCAAGACACTCAAGACAATTATCTAAATAACGATAAAAAGCTGCTTTACATTCATTTTTTCTCTCATCCCGCAATGGTTAATGTAACAAATTAAAATAAATGGAATCGCTCGTTTATCGTACTATACACCCCTGAGATCAGCCAGCTCACTCTATCCAAAGCCCGTGTTAAGTGTTAACCCTCTCTTCTCTCGTTCTCCATCGTGTCGCGCAGCAGCAGCAGCAGCATATAAACTCTCCCACTTGAATGATATTTTCGTACATACACACACACACACACACGGACGGACAATACTGCACCTACATAACTATAGATATACATTTAAAGCCGTGTGTGTCGTATGCAGAAAATCAGCTTTAGCTCTGCGAGCAGAAGCGTCGTCGCCGCCGCGTAGTTATATTGTACTCTTGTGCTGTGCATGGGGGGCAGTCGGTACGTAGGCTCGATCGAGTCCGTACGCACGAGAGCTGCTAAATAAGCTATAAAACTGCACGTCTACGAATTTTGCCAAACGCACGTCATTAGGTGCAGTATAGAATATAAAATATATATAGGAATCGACGTTCGCGCGCACAATTCTCGACTCTCGTTGTGTAGCGTGGAGTCAGAAGTTTCGGAATCGGAGCTCGTGTGTACATATCGTCATTGTATTTATTTATATTTATTTGCATTAATAAAAAATAGATAAATGTGCGACGGCGGTGAGTGAAATCTCGCATATCGTGTTGTTGTTGGTACACGTGCCGAGTATCTGTGTATCGTAGTAGTAGTAGCAGTAGTAGTAGTCCGGAGTATACGCATATAATATCGAATACGTGTGCGTCGAGAGCGCGCGAATTCGCATATTGTTGCTACACATCGTACAGATAGTCGCTCGGCAGCAGCAAGCAGCGTAGCAGCAGCGGCCAAGGAGCACTCGCAGCAGCGCAGCAGCACTCCTATATTCTCGCGTATAGTAGCAGGCAGCAGCAGCAGCAGCATCAGCAGCAAAAGCCAAGCATATAAGCAGCCAGCCTCTCACCTCGGCCAAATGTAAATATAATCTCTGATATTCGCAATAATCATAAGTGTGCGAGTAGGATTGAAAAGAGAGCAAAAATTGATTCTCGTTGGAACGATGGAGTATATAAGTGAAACAAGTGAATGGTAAACTACTTGGATGGTAGAAGCGTCCGTTTGATAATTGCGTGCGCGAAAATTTTTTGTGTATTCATCAGTGCAGAATGCAAGTACGTATAATAATAGCGAGTGAACTGTGACGACGAGGAGATGTAACCGCGACCGCACGAGCAGCTGGTGGTATTTAACGTACTTATAATAATACTCCCCCGCTCGCAAGGACACGTTCGTTTATGTACAGCACACCCGCGCGAAGGCACATACCTAGGCACGAGCCACACGCGGAACAGGAAGCCTCGCGAGAGAAGAGCAATTCGTTTTACCTACATACATACAAGAGTGCACACGTTTAGATGTGCTAAAAGCATCATCATCATCATCGTCAGCATCATCATCCATCCGCGCGTGCAGCGAATGTGCAGTGCATGCTCGAGTACGAGAGAGGAGAGATTTTACTCTGTGTGCTTGTGTGTGTGATAAAAAAATACACCGAGAATCGCATGAATTTTTTACTCATTAGTATAATCCTTGTTTACCTTCTCTAACGTTCGTAAGGAATTCATACATTTTAATTCAATCTGGTCACGTGCGTTACTGAATATTTAAGAGTTCACTTACTTATACGTTTCTTTTTTTTTCATTAATAATATAAGTAAATGCACAGTCACGCGTATACGTATATGAGATATCAAGGAGTGCGTATGCAAAATAGCTGCAAAAAAAAGAAGCAGAAGCTGATAGATTCGCAATAAAGTTGGAAAGATATTTATTCGTTTATTGATATGTAAGCAGCTCTCGCGAGACTTCACACACACACACACACTATCTATCTGTCGTCGTCGTCCTCGTGCGCTGCGGCGCGTCTCGTCGATGATGGCAAACAACAATATCAATCGCGCTTCATCATCGTGCGCTTATACTTACTCGCACACACACACACACAAGCGCATATCTCCATATGTAGGATACGCACACACGGACGGACCATTGCTAAAAGTTGCTCGACTCGCTTATAAATACATATACACGTACATACTTACACACAGATACAGACATGGCATCGTATCGCGGGAGAGAGAGAGAGAAAGAGACAGATAGATATAGCTATATGTACAGCGCAAACTGTGCGAGCGCAAGCGAGTGAACGAACGCGCCCTAGTTTTGACGGTGAACTCCGAAAAGGAAAAACGCGCACTTGCACACACAGACACGAGTGCATAAGCGAGTGGCGCACGCTACCGACTATATACTGGGAATGCGATGTTATAAATCGCTCAGTTTATTTATAAGTAAAACGTGTGTGCAAAGAAAAAAATGACGATCGATTATATTTCATTTCATCGTTGCGTTGCGGATTTTCGGGCATTTTTTTCTGTGGGTAATAATCGGAAAAGTAGGTGATTACGATGACTGTGCAGCAGCAGCAGCAGGGATGACGAGTGTTAATCGCGCGGTAGATTTATCACAAATGCACTTGAACATAACTGTATTAGAAATTTAAAGCCGAACAATCGAAATCGGGCATCGAACGCATTAGCGGGTCAAGTTGTAATAATCAACAAGTAGATACGCGAAACGGATGATAGGTAGTATAATACCTGTGTATATAGATGGGTGTAATACACCTGCGGCTTATTGCACACATATACGTACGCGAAGCTTAAACAGACGCCGGAAGGTCATTCGCTCCGCGCGCAGTACAGTGCAGAGGTATAATAATAAGCCATTTGTCCATCATCGATGCGTAATACTCATCAACGAGTTTTTTTTCTTGTTTTTTTTTTAAGACAGCCAAGAGACGTCACGCACGCAGCACCACGTAATCCCGATTGTGCTTTACAGAGGCAATGAATCTCGCGGTGCAGAGTATAGCTTTTGTTTACTTTTATCATTGATCGATGCATAAAAAAAATTCGCGAATAGATGCGTTAATTAAAAGATTTTTTTTAAGGTTATGTATTTACGATCGCGATGTCCCACATAAGACTGGCACTGTACTTTTTTTATTAAAAAATCGGCAAAAAATCGCTACGATACAGCCATGCCGCCGTATATACGTCGTATTGTTGTCAATGCCGCAGTGAAAGTAACAATCATCATCATCATCGCGATCGTCATCGAGGAAAAGAAAGAGAGAGAGAGAGACAACATAACGGATTTATGCTCGAGGCGAGAGTGTGGGATGCAGCTCTCCGCTGCTGCACTATACAAAGTTTTGCACGCTGCAGATTTTCTCGGATGCTACGTATATGCACAAATTTGCGCTTTCTTTTCTTCTCGCGCCAATACAGCAATCTGCATGAGAGCTGCATGCGCAGTTGTACAGCAATTTGCAATTCTCAATAGCGCGAGCGCGCGAGAACTCCGTTTTAGGATTGGAAAAAAAAAAGATCTAGTTTTATGTATGTATGTGGTACACGCACTCGGTGGTGTATCGTATCGATCTGCCTCTTTAACCTCGTGATATACGTTCACTGCTATATAGACTCCGAGAAAATAAAGAAATCTGTCAATGATTATCGTGAACTGGTTCAATAGTGTCTGCTGCAGCTGCTCGTGTATCGAGATATAGGTTTTAAATATGTGTCAAGAGCAGCACCACATTGACTCGTTTCGTTTGACGTTTCGGGATGAACGGTTAAATGATCGATGACAAAAAAAGTATACACATTCTAATGGAAGATATATTCAATGAAAGATATATAAACATTCTAAGAAAGATATATGTGTGAACAGGTCATTCGTAGGATATATGCGTCGTCACGAATTCGAGAAAACGAAAGTGACAATTTTTGCGTCTGTGTCTCTTAATCTCGAAGTATGTCGAATAACTCCGTAAACACAGCGACAGCTCTATCTTTCTCTCATTCGAATGGCCGTGTCTGTGTGTATTTCGCGAGTAAGAGTCGCTGCTGCTGCTGCTGTTGACCTCGACGAAATATCCAAAAACAGAATCCTTACTACTCGATTGCGTATGCATGTATAATCGAGAGACATTCTGGTTGTTGCTCCATAACTCGATGTATATACATTTTGCACACACGAGTATCTTAATGAGAAAGAAAGAGAAAGAGAGAGAGCGGAGAGGCACGACGTTGCTCACACCCTCGATAGTAGCCAATCGCGATCGCGATATTCCACACATACACAAACGCACGCTACACAACATACACAACGTAGTCGCGCTCGCGGCGAAGAGGCTTGTCGATAATATCCCGTATCTGTGTGTGTTTGTGCCGGTTCTGCAAAAACTCGAGTAGCAGCGACGAGAGATAGGTACACGTGGTAGGGAATTTCGCGTCGTCGTCGTCGTCGTCGTCTCGCCGCGTCTCTTTTATATATAACACACACGGCTACGCACACAAAGTATATTTATTTAATATTATGCCGTCGTTCGCGCAGTCTGTGGCGAGATTCGGCGTCGACTGCACGATCGCGACGTGCCGAATTTTGAAGCTCTCGAATTTTCATATAATTTATAAAAATTATCGTTGTTGAATCTAATCAATAAAACAAAAAAATATGTAATGACTCGCTCGATGTAGAATTTCTGCGTGATCATGCGCGTTTTTCAATTCGTGTCCGATGATCGGGTTTTCTCTCTGTGTGCGTGTAAATAAGTGAAAAATCAAAACTTTTGTGCCCGTTGCAATTTGGCCGAGGCGCATTCCATATTTTAGGTAAAATACATCATTTTATTTTCATCCATCGACGCGCCTGTTTACGCGCTATACTAGATAATAATTGAAGCAATTTCGACCAAAACGTTTCCTACTTAGATTAGCGTTTTTCTATTTTTCAGTAATTACGCAAGCATTTTTTAATGAACTCCAGACTTATATGTTTTCAAACGATAATAGTGTCCATAAGGCGCGTCTGTAAAACGAGTCTACATACGTTTATGCGAATTGTTATTTGCTTCGTCGATAAAGTCAAGCCTCGTCGTGCCTGCGCGAATATGGGCGTGCAATACAATTTGCTACCTACTTGAACTTTTTATTTGACAATATAAATCGATTTTTTTCTGCCACTCATTATTATATCGCTCTTTTTTCGAGTCCATTTACATTCTAATCGATAATACGTATTCACGCATTGTTTTCTCCGCTCCCCCCCGCGAGATAAGTGCGCGCGCGCGACAGTGCAAACGATACATCGTTAAGCGAGCAAACAAATCGCCGATAGATGTATCGGTGTATATTTGTGCCCCGTATATAATATGCGCGCGAGAGAATCAACGATGATAATTTTTCAAACAGTCATTGCGATTTGTTATGTCTGAACGAGTCTCGAGTACCTATACACATATACGATTCGTTGCGGCTTATCGGCAAATAATTCGAGTATAATACAGACTTTTTTGCAGCAACGGCACTAAACGAAACCACCGAGGCTATACGCCGCGCTCGCTGCGTCATTACGAGAATATTTTATCTTTGTAATCCCCGCGCGCGCGCGTATCGGCTTGACCCCTGCACCGCACCGCCGATTTTTTTTTTTTGCGCGCGAATGTGTCTCTCGCTTTTCGAGGAATTGACGAAAAATTTAATTTAAAAATAAAAGTTATCTATTTAACCATGGATTTTCCACGATATATCGATTTTCAATCGGTATCATTGCCTATTAGCTCTGATGTTTATCATTTAAATAAAAAAAGTTCTTGAGCAACGCGGACGGAGTCATTGTTCACTTGCGGCGTGGCGAGGAGAGGACGAATGAAGCGCTCGACTAAGAACTTTGACCTTCACAGCGACGTCGCGGCACATAGAGCCCCGCGGACGCGTCGTCGTCGCGAGCTCCGAGTGTACAACATTGAATATTTTAATTGAAGAAAATGCGCCGCTCGCAGCTCGTATTCTTCGAACGGAACGGAAATACAGCTTGAAAAGTAATTATTATGCACGCGTTAGGCATTACAAGTCCATAGGTGCTCGAAAAACTTTCTCTTGTTTACCAACTTTGTTATTCGGTAAATGATATTACTGTGTAATTTTCGAAAAAAAATAATAATTTTAATCACTCTTTTTTTGCACATATTTACAGAACCGATGTGGGTTCGATGACTTTCATCGAGATTGTATTTTGAATAAATTTAACGCTTTTCTTTTGCGCGCAGACAGAAGTGCGGATAATTTTTATACCAAATCGACCTTCTCTCCCCGCGTGTGTAGTAATCTCATTAGCAGTTTTCTTTTCTTAACACAATATTCGTTTTTGTTGTACGCTTGACCAATGCGAAAAAGAAGTATGAGCAATGAACAAAACGATTGCCTTAACTATCTCCGCTATCGCTTTGTGGATTTAGTATCGCGATGAATAATGTCTTTACGGCGTATTTATACTTTTATTGTTGTTGTGCATTTAAAAAAAAAGAGCTCGTGTAAATCATTAAGTTCTTTTTTTTCTCTATACAAGTCGATATACATTGCACATAGAAAACAAGGAAAACAACACTTCGAGTGTTGTATAGGCATACTTGCGTCGAACAATTGAAATATATTGAATTATACAATTGTTTTTGTGTACTTTTTATCGCGAGAGATCTAGATCGTTATCTGGAAGATGAGCACGCATTATCGCTCTCGCAAGAGAGATTTTGCTTGCTGCGCGCAGCTAAAATAATAATATCATCAATAACCTTGGGGCCTTCTTCCAGTCCAGTTAATTTGAACGCCGATTGGAGATACGTTTGATAAATTGTTAAATTTTTCAACTGTTCAAACTAGAATGTATGTTAGTCATTACAAAGAGGTGAAATTTTTCCTTTTAGCCTGTATAGAAGCAAATTGTGCATTCTACGAATTACGCAAAATGTTTTTTTTTTTTTTTTTTATAAAATCATGACGAAACTTGAACGTAGATGGAATTATTTTGACGGATTCCCGCACTATATACATAAATCGCGAGCGAGCGAACAAGACGGAACCGGGGAAACCCCAAAAAAACTAAAAAATCTCGATATAGCATTGAAATTCAAAAATTCGACCGAATTCCCGAGGTTTTAAATTGTCTTTCGTCGTCGTGAATAACAATCGTGTTATTTGAAATGCAGTCTGGGCCTTTGACTTTTTTTTTTTACTTCTTTTCCTTTTTTCCATTTTTAAGCGCGTTTATACGCGGTTCCTCTATGCATTCCAGATAAGTCTATTTACATTCGTCGCGGCGTAGACGGAGTTTCTCCCACACACAACGACCGATCGATCGGTCGACCGGTCTTATATCATTTTCGATTGAGTAAACGATTAAATATGCGCGAAAAGAAAAAAAAAATTATTGACTGATAATGGCGAAGAGGGAGGGGGGTGGGGCAATTTCATTGCCGGCCAATCGAACATTTCTTATTTTTTTCCACGTATAGAGAATAAAAACGGATAGAAATGAAAAAATTGGCAAACGATGTGCATCTGCTCTCTTAAATAATAAACGTGTACCCACATCACATGTACGCATAAGTAGGTAAACGGACGTATGCGAGAGAGAGAGAGAGAGAGAGAGAGAGACTGGCTCGAACGTTAAGCAACATACAAAAAAGAAATGCTGAATCACGCTGATAGTGTACAATATTGTCGGAGTTTTATAAATACACTGATTCATCTGCGTCCATGTGTGTGTGTGTATACGCTATACATACAGACGTGAAGCAGCGGCGAGCGACTTTTTCGCGCGCCAGCAGCAGTATACAGTGTCAGCGACGCAGTCCTCAAAAGCAGCTAATCAACGGGTTTTGCTTTTAATTCCGAAATACATACATATAGTGTGCGTGTGTGTGTGTCGTATCGGTCAACAACCGGTTTTTCCAATTTTTTTTCTCTCTCTTTTTTATACGCGTACGCGGTACATACACATGCAAGAGAAAATTTCGTAAATAAAATTCGCGAGGCGCGAGCATTTGTGCATGCGCAAGGTACAGACGATCCGATTTATATAGTACATTTGATGCGAGTTACGCAACGCGCCGAATTCATGGAAGTCTTTCGCTGCGAATATCGCGCTTATATCGGCCTGTACTAGTACGACGATGACGAACGACGATAATAATAATAATAATAATAAAAGACAACACAGCTGTTTACGATTTATCGAGAGCTCTTTATTTGCAATTTGACCGCGCGCGCGCGCACGCGATCATCTCCTCTCGCGCAACGCGCGTATTTCAAATTCGTGTCTCTCCTCTACCGATCGGTACAATAACGATTTTGAACGTCGCTTTTCGATCTGAATTTGTTGTTTTTTTTTCCTTCTTTCGGTATATAATACAAGCGCGAGGAGATGTGTGTGTGTGTGTGTGTGTGTGTGTGTGCATGCCGTGTTTGTATGCTATAAAGTTACGCGCACTGCACGTGACAATTATTACTTTACGTTGCAGTGCACCGAGCTGGGCTGGAGCTGCAACTGTGTACCGTACACTATAGCGTGATTCGATACGCTTGTATTACTCCTCTTTTAAAAAAAGTCACGAGTAATTTTGCGTACGTAGTTTTCCAGGATCGAGTGACGCTGTCGCAAGTGGCGAAGTCGATCGTCGAGTGAATGGAAAATTTAAAAATTGATTGTTCTTCTTCAACTAAAGCTTGCAATTTCTTTAAATCGCCAATGAATATGATTAAACAAATGCACCGAGTATAGTTGTGTCGTGAAAATGCACATAAAGTATGCAATAAATCCAGCGCAAATAAAACTTTCATAAATTTTTGAACTACATACGAATACGACTTTTAGTCACGCGAAGCGCATCGAACGAATCCTAGAGATACGAGCAACGACGATTACAAAGTGTTTCTATAAACGTCGTAGCGAGTGTACAAGTGCACATGCGTGCGCGAGAGACACTCGAGTCAGTCGCAGCAGCAGCAGCTTTTCGCGCGCGCAGCATTATACGTCGTCTGCATGTGCAATTTATAAAGTAAGGTCAAATGCATCGGGATTCGAGATACATGCTGCTGCTGCTGCTGCGACGTTTTTCGTCTATAATACATATTGCACGTATGCAGACACAAAGATATAAAAAAAAAAATCGATAGCGATTAAATCGTCTCGACGCGCGAGGGGGGCCCTCATCGCGGAGTTATTTGTTGTACATCGTTACTCGATATTCGTTGTCGAAGCGAAACAAAAAATAAACGACGTATGCAGTGCATAATCAGCCAGACCCAAGCTTCGTAAATCGATCGATTTTTTTAGCTCTGTTCTATCGATTGGCCTAACGATACCGAAAAAGTGAGCAATGCTCGAAATATAGGACGCGAAGTGTTTTCTTTCCCATTGTCGATCGGCCCAGACTCTCTCACGCGCAGCGTATACTTTCGATATCGGCGAGCGTTTAATAAACGTCGTCGTGTGTGCATTGTAATGCCGCGGCGCATTAACTACGATCGTCGTCTACCGACTCTTTTTTCGTACAGTCGTTCGTAATAGCTCATTACATAAGCGCGACGGCGGCGGCTAGCAGCAGTACGAGTGCATGTGTGCGTTTGTATCGGCGAGTGTGTGTATTTTTGCGCAGACAAGCCAAAGATAATGTGTCGCATGCGCGCGCCATTGTACAATATACCGATCTTTTTAACACTTTTTTTTTCTCGAGAACCAACCGTCAGCAAAACGGATTCGTCTATCTGCGTGTACTAAAGTTGCCGATTTTTTGCCATTTTTTCAGAGAGCAACAGCAGCGAATGTAAGGTTGACAGCAGCAGTTTTCGAGCCAAAGACTTGAACAGCTGCAACTGCAGCAGCAGCAGCAGCAGCAACCATGGCGGAAGCCCATGCCGCCGTAGCCTTTCAATTCTCCATCACCCACGAAGGCTGGGACGTGAATTTCGATCGGGAGGTTCTGAATCTCGTTTGGCAGTCCGGCATCAGATCATGGAAGAAACGTTACTTCCGATTTATCGTGAGTTTGTGCATAATATTTTTCATAATGATCGAATCAACAATTTTACTAAAACCATCGTTTTTCATTTTCCAGAACAACATCAAGACCGGAGTGTATCCGGCGTCGCTCAACAGCCTCTGGCTGACGGTCATAATGGTGATGGCGATTCACTTTGCCGGCTACAAAGTGCCCTACGTGGGTAGCGTCGCACCTTATTTATTCGCGTAAGTACACACACACACACATAGTAGTACACATCAGCTGTATTTGCCAAATTACATCATTGCCGCATCTCTGCTTGCACGCAGGTCGTACGTGTTGGCGCACATGGCGGGCTGCTTCCTGGTCGGACTGCTGCTCTGGCTGGTCACGATCCACGCCATACGCTACATCCTCAAGCTGCTGCTCATGTACAAGGGCTGGATGTACGAGTCGAGGGGCCCGGGCAGTCGGGTCTCGCTCACCACCAAGCTCTGGGCCGTGGCCGTCAAGATCTTTTCCGGCTGGCACAAGCCCATGCTGTACAGCTTTCAGGGCTCGCTGCCGAGGCTGCCGCTGCCCAGCGTCGAGGACACCGCTCAACGGGTGAGTCACTCGGAAAGTTCGACACGTGTCGCGCCGCGACAATAGAGTATATTTAGCATACGTATAGATAATTGGAATGTAAATGAAATCAATTTACCGAGCGATCGATTTATACGTTTTTCCTCTTTCGTTTCGCAGTACCTGCGCAGCGTGCGACCTCTGCTCGACGACGACGGCTACCGGCGCATGGAGCAGCTCGCCCGCGAGTTCCAGCAGGGCATCGGCGTCAAGCTGCAGCGCTACCTCATCCTCAAGTCCTGGTGGTCCTCGAATTACGTGAGCGACTGGTGGGAGGAGTACGTCTATCTGCGCGGCCGATCGCCCATCATGGTCAACTCCAACTTCTACGGGATCGACGCGATCCTGATGCATCCGACCAGGGTGCAGTCGGCCCGCGCGGCCAGCGTCATCCACTCGTGTCTGCAGTACAGACGCTTGATCGAGCGTCAGGATCTCGAGCCCGTACGTATTGACTTTTTTTTTTTTTTTTTTTAATGGAATTTCGAAGAAGTCGTCAAACTGGTTTTTATCGTTTATTCATGTGCGAAAAAAAACACGAGACATTCCTCTCCGTAGTGCGACAACAATGTGCAATGGCGCTAACGACTAATTTTTGTCAATAATACAGATCCTCGTGCAAGGCATCGTTCCCCTCTGCTCGTGGCAGTACGAGCGAGTCTTCAACACGACCAGAATCCCAGGCATCGAGACCGACAGGATCGTGCACTTCAACGACTCCAAGCACGTCGTGGTCTATCACAAGGGCAAATACTTCAGGCTGCCGATCTATCACAAGAATCGGCTGCTGCAGCCCTGCGAGATCGAGCTGCAGATCCAGTCGATCCTGGACGACACGAGCTCGCCGTACGAGGGCGAGGAGAGACTCGCCTCGCTCACCGGGGGCGAACGAGTGCACTGGGCGAAATCGCGCGAGGAGCACTTCGCGCGGGGAATCAACAAGATCTCGCTGGATCTCATCGAGAAATCGGCCTTCGTCGTGGCCTTGGACGACGTGCCGTACGAGTTCGACAAGTCGCATCCGGAGAAGCTGGACAATTACGGCAGGATTTTGCTGCACGGAAAGGGCCACGATCGATGGTTCGACAAGTCGTTCACCCTCTGCGTCGGTAGCAATGGAAGGGTAAGTTTTTGATTTTTTTCTTTTTCATGCATTCTATCGTGGTTTATTTATTAACGATGGTTATTTCGATTTCAGATTGGTTTCAATGCTGAACACTCGTGGTAAGTATGAAGGAATTCAAAATCGCGGGGGATGATGTTAAAATTACAGATAATTCAGCCGTTTTAAAATGTTTTATCATCGTGATATTTGATTGAAAAAAAAAATCTTTAAATAGATGCCGAGTACCGCGTGTAGAGCGTGGTGATCGGTCCGCAAACGTTCATAAATTTATATCTCTCTGAAAACAAAATCGTTGAATTATGCTGCAGTAGTCTCTATACAGTCTCAGATTGTTCATGAATAACTTTTGTGAACCTACTAATTTATTTAACCTGGATATAATGTGATGAGCAGGGCCGACGCAGCAGTGATGTCACATGTTTGGGAGTATATTCTTGTGGAAGACTCGATAATGTCACAGTAAGAATTCACTTTGAAACCCGTTGTTTACATTAGAAAAAGGGGCAGAGAGGTGTTGCTTTTATTAAAACAAAAAACCTTGCCTTTTATTTATTTTTACTTGTTTTTACAAACCTGTATATTATACATTCGATATTTTTATTATAATTTTGTACTTATTTGTTGTAATTTATATTCTATTATAGTTTTGTGCAATAATACCAATGACAACTCGGTCGAAAAACCTAAAATTGAACGATTTGTATAAAAAAAAAGAGGTGCAGGGTTGCTCCCCCGAAGGGCGTTATTCAAAAGATAAAATTGGTTACCGTGTGAACTCATGAATATTTAACTGTGATGAATTTATCTGTAATTTTGTGGTATGGAGAACGTTTACGTTTTTACGTTTGTTCACAAAAAAGAAAAACAAAAAACAATTTAAATATTTTCATGAAATTCTCAGGGCAGATGCCCCCATAATGGGAGCTCTTTGGGAATACGTTCTTGCTACAGATATGGAAGTTGGGTAATTGCACTTACAAACATTCCAATTTTTTACTTTCACTCCTCGCATATACTCATTCCACGCATGTAATCGTTCTCTTTTTTTTTTGCTTACCACCTTTTATGTTTACTTGCTTTTTGATGAATGGTCATTAACAAGCTTGGTCAAGTTATACTAAATTCATTTAATACAAATAATTATTACAAGTAATGTGTAAATATCTGGTAATGTTTTAATTTTTACCGAGATCAACTAAACTTGTAAAATACAATTGAAATTTCGTACATAATTCATAACATTATAAAAAATATAACATGAAATGTACATAAAATATTAACAAAACATGAAACTTTATCATAACATTGATTGAAAAATTGATTTATTGTTAAATCAGTTCGAAATTTATTTTTTCATTATCAGTTTTTACATATTTGCATTTGTTATGTTAAAATGTAATTATATAATTCTTTTATTAATCCATAAATCTAAATTAATCTAGATTTAAAGAAGATGGACATACAAAGGGAACGCCAGAATTTACTCCTCCAATGCCAACGAGGTTGCAGTGGGATTTGAGCCCCAAAGCTCTTCAAGCCATTGAAACTGCTTACTTGGTATGAATTTCAAAATTTATGTTTATTGTTTTTAAAGAGTAACATTTATATTCACTGAAAATTTTACTTAAGGTGGCTGAAGAACTCGTGAATGGCTTGGATCTTCGTATCTATGTCCATGATTTATATGGAAAAGGATTTATGAAGAAGTCGAAGGTTTCGCCAGACGCTTACATTCAAATGGCTCTACAATTAGCTTATTATCGGGATGCTGGAAAATTCAGTTTGACCTACGAAGCATCAATGACTCGACTTTATCGCGAGGGTCGAACTGAAACTGTCAGGCCGTGCACGATTGAATCTGTAGCTTGGGTCAAAGCTATGGAAAATAAAAATGCTACAGTAATTACTATTTTAATTATTCTTTTGGTAAAATTTAAAATGATTAATAACTAAGTTTATATCTATCAGGTTCAAGATAGACATAAATATTTCATGGCAGCTGTAGCTCAACATCAAAGAGGCTACCAAGATGCCATGTGCGGTAAAGGAATTGACAGACATCTATTTTGTCTGTATGTAGTTTCTAAATATTTGGAAGTGGATTCTCCTTTCTTAAAGGTAAAACAAAATTTCCTTATCTCATTCATATAATAAAATAACATCAAATTATTTAATTATATAAATATTTTTGTAGGAGGTACTCAGCGAACCATGGAGGCTGTCAACTTCACAAACACCTCATGGACAAACATCAAAATTAGATCTAAAAAAATACCCTGATTGCATATCCGCTGGAGGTGGATTTGGACCCGTGGCCGATGATGGTTACGGTGTTTCTTACATCATTGCCGGGGAAGATATGATTTTCTTCCATATTTCAAGCAAATTTGCCTGCCCGAAAACGGTATGAAAATTGTTAATCCATTGATACTTTTATACTCATTTGTTTCGAATACTTATGAGAATGTTTTTTACACGCAGAGCTCCAAAAAATTTGCTGATGAAATAAAGAAAGCATTGATGGACATGAAGGAATTGTTCACAGAACGCGAGAAGATCCAGAATCAAGTAAATGGTTTCACGTAATGACATCTGAATTTTATTGAATGTGCACAATAAATGAAAGTTAAGAATTGCATAGAAATGCGATCGAATTGCGAGTCTGTTAATCGAAGAATCTTTTTAAATGCTAGCGCAAAAGTTCATTTGCTTGATGTGAGGGCGTTTGTAAATTTAGAAATTACATAGACGCACACAACGTTTAGCCACAACGTGTAAAAGCACATTAATGCAAAAATAAAAAACGTCGTAGTGTATCTCGACAATGAATTTTGTAAATTATATGAAGTGTCAAGAATATACGTTTCAGTGAGTTGATGATCACATCGGATAGGTATACATATCTCGCGCAATATACTGCGGAAATTTTTAGTTGCGGAATCAAGATTGTTCCGACTGATTGAATTGTTGCTCCTGCATCAATGTGAGAATTTATATAGTCTTTTACGAGAGATTTTTTTGTTTTTTGAAGAGCAAAAGTACTGAAATTACAATTGATATTTTTGTTATCTAGATTTTATTTATACCCAAGCGTATAGATTTATATATTAGTTAGTTGTACAATTAAGGTAGTCGCTAGATTTATTTTTAAATCAATTGTTTTTTTTTTACATCAACAATTTTGCAATATATTTATGAGATATTTAAGGAAAAAAATCATTGTGTAGCTTCCATTTACATAGTTCCAGTACTTTTGTTATTTAAATAAATGAGCGTGAAAAAAGATGTCTACCATTAATGAACAATGCAATTAGAGTATAAAGATTACTTATATTAGTAAGTAACTTGCAGTAATGTTACTGTAATCGTTTTTGTTATTCGTACAAAAAAGTGAAAATTTATATTAAAAACAAGACTATGAATTTTTTTAAGAAAAAAATAAACGTTTCATGCGCGAACTTAATAAAATTGATAATTGTTTTTTGTAATAATGTAATATGTGATCGCGCCAAGTTTTAGTATTAAGGAATGTTAAGTAATGCCATGATCCTAAAATGTGCAACCTATCAATGCAAAAAAATATTACAAATAATTTTGTATGAATATATTTTTATGTTGTTAACATGATCGGTAGCGGTATTGGTGCCCCAGTTACATAAGGTTTTTGAAATGTAATTAATATTATGCTGTAGATGATTAATTTTTTTTAACAACTCCTTCAACTTCATGAAAATTTATTTTAAAAAATAAAACAGAAGTTTCAATGAAAATCAACCATTTTAAAATTGTTAAATTTTGAGTATTGTTTTACCTTGTTTTTTAATGATATGTACACAGAAAGTTTGTCATTAGAATAAATAAAAATCATTTTCCTAGATGTTATAATTAATTTTTTATTAAACTTTTCAATGTTTTTAAAACATTATAATTGATACAGTAAACTTACAAAAACAGATCACAGTTATTATTCAGGAATCAAAAGATAAAATTCTTCAGTACAAAAATAAGTATATTAATCTCATTAAACAACAGTATATACTCTATTAATCTAATTACTTAAATAAGAACAACAATACTTTGCAATATAAGTTCATGAATCACGTTTGTCTCTTGGTTTTCTAGATTGACAATCTTTATCCCGACCAACATTTTCATTTGTACTGTATTTTCTATCACTTCTTTCTTTTACATTAGATTCGGTTTTATATTTACTATCTTTCCTTTCACTTATTCTTTCTTCTCTTTGGTATTTGCTATCTTTATAATCACTAACATTTTGCCTTCTATTACTATAATTACAATAACTTTTGGATTTGTGTTTATTCGATTGAATTGCATTTCTGAGTGTGGAATGCAAGAACCTCTTGTTTATACTATCTTTCTTTTTGACGTATCCACTGGGCCCCATAACGTCAGCTCTTCTCTCTGCCTCCTTAGCTTCTTTCAATAAAGCTTCTGCTGCCATTCTATGGATAATAAAAAGAAAAATTTTTTAATTCTTTACCTCGCCTTTTTTTGGACACCAGAAAAGTACCGAAATTCGAGGTTATCTGAAAATTATAATCATATATTGTAGTTATTATTTACCTAGTTAATGTCTCGTCGTCCATGATGAAGGGAATTTGAAAATGTTGGTAAACTTTCAAAATTCACCGCCTCTGCTTGTCAATCGTTCTCGAATTGTTTTGATGGGCAAAAACGTAAACACACGCGACGACGATACCAAAATTATGGACTCAGCCTGAGGATAACTACTGTGTTGTGTAGGACACTGAAATCATGAATGAAAATTGTAACTGGTTTCGAAAGGTTAGATGCTGCGTGGTGCGCGGAAAATATGCGCGTTAACCATGCATCAAGAAAGTTTTGACCCTATCAAACGTAAAGCCATATGAATTACTCGCTCACTCTTTCATCTTTAAAGTTAAACATTAACGTTATCGAACATTTATCGATCTTGTCGCATGGAACATCGATTGCCACAATTTGAATATTATTGCGTCATGCACGACGTACCGTTGCCCTCGGTAATTGACCGAGCAGTTCCCGCCAAAAACACGGCTAAAAATTATTGGCCCTGCTCTCTGACCGGCGTAAACGAGACAGTCTCGTTCGGCATTCTCCCTTACGACGTTGCGGTTTTTTTGTCTGCGTTTTGTTGCCGCGGCTGCATATCGCAGAATTAACCCGCATATATAGACCAAACTCAGGCCGAAAATTTCGTAGCTACATAGAGTGCGCCGTTGGCTGCTCGGGTTCGTTCGCGCTGCTGCCTGCGCACACGGCCATCTACGTTTAGTCGGTGAACCCTCGAGAGATTTTATAATTATATACGGCATCGTCTCCATAGACGACGTTGTTAACCCCCCTCGAGGTTTTTGTGTGTCGTATTATCGTCGGCTTTGATTATATATCGAGTGACTGTGAGTGCTCTGAGGAGAGCAAAAAAAAAAATCCATTGACTCGAGGAGATAACGGAAGCATCCAGATTGGGATAATTCGCGGTTCATCCCGAGCATCGTTACAGTCAAAATATCGCAAGTACCTGTGTTTATAACGAGAGCCATCATCGATGCGGCGCTCGAGGAATTGACGAGTACACACGCATATATATAAGAGAGAGGAAGCACATCGCCGCTGTTAGCAGAGTTTTATTATTTTTTTTGCCCAACAACTTTCACCGTTCCGCAGGATCCAACCGCCTACCACCACCATAAAACGAATCCACCACTACTACCATCGTCCGGTTTACTGCACTTGTGCGTGTACCCTCTTCTCTTCCTCTTTGGTAAGGAGAAATTTTTGCAACGTTTGCTACAAATTAAAAACGTTCGTATCATCGTGTTTGCGTTCAGAGCTTGCGTTTGACTCGTACACCTTTATTAAAATCGATAAAGCTGATAATGCAATAATGTGTACGATGACGGAGGAACGCAAAGAATTAACGTTTGACACTTATCAGATCTTCAGGCTGGCCAGCTGGGCTGGTTGCAAATTTTGCGGCTGGTTGGCTGTGCTCGCTGGTTTAATTATCTTTACCGTATTTCTGGGCATATCCGTGTATTACTTTGGTTTCATGCTGTTGATGATCATAATCGGTTTGATCATTCTTAAGTGTATAGTTTAAGGCAAGAAAAGAGTTTTTGACAACATCGTATGGATGTAGGTACCCAGGTGTGAACAACCAAGCTTAATATATTATTAGACTGACACTGACATTTTTAATCGGTACTCTGCGATTGTGGGCAATGCAAAAGCTGGTTTTGGAGTCACAGCCATATTTAAAAACATTTGCTGGCTCATAAAAACAAATAATTATATTGTGGTTAATATTCAGAAATTATAATGTATCCCAATCGATTTTACTTATATGAAAATAAAAACAGCACGATAACAACGAATAACTTTTCCAACTCTATACAATACTTGAATTATCAACTAAAGCAACTGTAATTAAAATGATGACTTAAATTTCTTTTTCAGAACCTGTCAACAATTACTGGTAAGAAAAATGTCTGATACAAGTGATTTGGATAGGCAGATTGAACAACTCAAAAAGTGTGAGATTATTAGTGAAGCAGAAGTAAAAGCATTATGCGCTAAGGCACGAGAAATTCTTATTGAAGAAAGCAATGTTCAGCGAGTTGATTCACCAGTGACGGTATGGACTACTAATTTTATGATCATTGTACTAAAAATATAATAAATTACTAAAAATCATGTTTTTATAGGTTTGTGGAGATATCCATGGACAGTTTTACGATCTCAAAGAATTGTTCAAAGTTGGTGGGGATGTACCTGAAACAAATTATCTGTTTATGGGAGATTTTGTAGATAGAGGTTTTTTCAGTGTTGAAACTTTCCTGCTGTTGCTTGCTCTCAAAGTATGAAAATTCTACATTATCAATCAAATAATATTTTAAATGATGCTGTGATAAACTAATCATTACAATTTGTGTAAAGGTGCGTTACCCAGATAGAATAACATTAATCAGAGGTAACCATGAGTCGAGGCAAATTACTCAAGTTTATGGCTTTTATGACGAATGCCTACGTAAATATGGAAGCAATACAGTATGGCGTCACTGTACAGAAATTTTTGATTATCTGTCTTTATCAGCTATCATTGATGGAAGGATATTCTGTGTGCATGGAGGATTATCGCCAAGCATACAAACTCTTGATCAAATTCGAACGATAGACAGGAAGCAAGAGGTAATTTTAATTTACTATTTCATTTAATATCTTGAAACAAAGTTTTATTTATAATATTTTAATTTTTGCATTGTTAAACTCAATTAAACATATCATAATCTTAAATTTTTAGGTTCCACATGATGGTCCAATGTGTGATTTATTATGGTCTGATCCAGAAGAAACACAAGGATGGGGTGTTTCACCTCGTGGAGCTGGTTATCTTTTTGGCAGTGATGTTGTATCGCAATTTAATACTGCCAACGACATTGATATGATTTGTCGTGCACATCAATTGGTGATGGAAGGCTATAAATGGCATTTTAATGAAACTGTACTGACAGTATGGTCAGCTCCAAACTACTGTTACAGGTAGGATTTTATTCAATCAAATTACATTTTTGATTGAAAATTTTTAACTGGTTATTGATTGATTGTATTTGTTTGAATTGTGCAGGTGTGGTAACGTAGCAGCGATATTAGAATTGAGTGAACATTTGCAAAGAGATTTTACTATATTTGAGGCAGCACCTCAAGAGAGCAGGGGGACACCAAGCAAAAAGCCTCAAGCAGATTACTTTTTGTGAAGTGTCGCTCTCCTCGTACTCGTAGCTGCTGCTTTTGTACGGTTGAAATCTTTTTTAATGCAGACGCCATTCAATTTTATGGACCGACGTTTAGAAGTGGTTAATAATTAAACATATAATTATTCATGACGACAAACTATCAATCCTGGAACGAACATTGAGTGCTTGTTGACTTGGAAATACACCAATACATTCACAATTGTAAATTAATTTTTGCGCAATTTTTTACTTTATCTTGATTATGAACTTGCGTAGTTTCTGCCTTACTACAATGGTAAATACATCGAGCATATTCTTTTTTTTACCGATTATCCTTGGGTTTTCTTGTATATTGGATAACTTACTTTTAACATTTTAATGTTTGTCTAAAAAACAAGTCCAAACTTGTAAAGCTTAAAATTTACTCCGAGTATTCACATATAATGTATGTTATATATAATTTATACAATTATGATTATGATTATTACTGCTAAGAAAAAAATTGAAAGTAAAACTCTTTTTTTTTGTATTTAAAAAATTGTTTGTGTGTGATTTTTTTTTAAGACGAAGTGCAAAAACTTTTTTCTGTATACTGAAGAGAACTCGAGTATATTTATCCATTGTAATTATCGCTATAAAAAAGCAAAAAAAAACTATTTACTACAAACTATAAGTAGCGGGGGTACAAAGAAAAAGAAAGAAGGTGGATAAAAATAAAAGATACTCGTACATTTTCAAGACGGTTGTACAATATTTTTGTAAATTATAATAAATAATAATCATTTGGACATTGACGTTGGTTGAGTATGATAAAAAAATATACAAATAGCACATTTATCACGGTAACAATTTTAAAACATCGAAAACATGTAAAAGAGTCAAGTAAATAACAGGAATAAATTGGTACAAAATGACGTTGGCTGCATGTGTACAGGGCATAATAAAAGATCGGCGTTGGCCGTTCGACGACAGCTAAATCTGCAACCTCTGAAGAAGACGTCTGCAAATAAAAACTTGACATTATTATCATTCTTCAAACGTTTGAATCAAAAATAATACCTCAAATACTGCAACATTAACGTCAAGGTCTTAAGACGAAGGGACGACTACTCTAGAACTCGAGTTCCTCTCCTTGCAGCGGCGACTCGGCCGCTACCTCTTCGTAATCTCTCTCCAAAGCAGCCAGATCCTCTCTGGCCTCGGAAAATTCGTTCTCCTCCATACCCTCGCCGATGTACCAATGTACGAAGGCCCTCTTGGCGAACATGAGGTCGAATTTGAGATTCAGCTTGGACCAGGCCTCGCCGATGGCCGTCGTGTTGCAGAGCATCGACACGGCCCTCTGCACCTTGGCGAGATCGCCACCCGGCACCACCGTAGGCGCCTGATAATTTATGCCCACTTTGAAGCCCGTCGGGCACCAGTCGACGAACTTGACTCCGCTCTTGCTCTTCATGAGGGCGATGGCCGTGTTGATGTCCTTGGGCACGACGTCGCCCCGGTAGAGCAGACAGCAGGCCATGTACTTGCCCTTCCTCGGGTCGCACTTGACCATCTGATTGTCGGGCTCGAAGCACTCGTTGGTGATGTCGTTGATGCTCACCGACTCGTGGTGGGCCTTCTCCGCAGATATCACCGGGGCGTACGAGGCCAGCGGGAAGTGTATCCTCGGGTAGGGCACGAGATTGGTCTGGAACTCGGTGAGGTCGACGTTGAGGGCGCCGTCGAATCTCAGCGAGGCCGTTATCGACGAGACGACCTGGCTTATGAGCCTGTTGAGATTCGTGTAGGTGGGCCTCTGTATGCCCAGCTTGCGCCGGCAGATCTCGTAGATGGCCTCGTTGTCCACCAGGAACGTGCAGTCCGAGTGGCTGATCGTGGCGTGGGTCGTGAGGATCGAGTTGTAGGGCTCGACGACGGCCGTGGAGACCTGGGGAGCCGGATAGACCGTCACCTCGAGCTTGCTCTTCTTGCCGTACTCGTGGGACAGCTTTTCCATGAGGAGGGAGGCGAAGCCCGAGCCCGTGCCGCCGCCGAACGAGTGAAAGACGAAGAAGCCCAAGAGGCTCTGGCACTGGTCGGTGAAGCGACGCAGCCGATTCATCACGGTGCCGATGAGCTCCTGGCCCACGGAGTAGTAGCCCCGCGCGTAATTGTTGGCCGCGTCCTCTTTGCCGTTTATCAGCTGCTCCGGATGGTACAGCTGTCTGTAGGTGCCGCGTCTGATCTCGTCTACACGGCGCACGCGAGATTATGGGTAACGATTTTTTTCTCTCTTCAGCGATTTACCGAGTAGTAGCGTTGCGACTCACCGATGACCGTGGGCTCGAGATCGATCATCAGCGCCCTGGGTATCATGTGGCCCTTGCTCGTCTCGTTGAAGAAGGTGTCGTAGCAGTCGTTGTTGCCGATCTGCTTGTCCGAGGGCATCGTGCCGTCGGGCTGTATGCCGTGCTCGAGGCAGAACAGCTCCCAGCAGGCGTTGCCGATCTGCACGCCCGCCTGGCCGACGTGGATGCAGATGCACTGGCGTTGCGAGTTTTGCTGCTGCTGTCGAATCCATGGGGTGGGAAGAAAAAAAAAAAAATCGGCGTTACCGATTCGCGATGCTGCATTTTATTTATTTATTTATTATTATTATTATTATTTTTTGAATATACTAACCATCGCGATGGCGGAATTTTTTTTTTATCGCAGCAGGACTTGTAAGGATAACACTAGGAATTTTGACGTATCGAGAGGTGAGTTTTTTTTCTTTTTGGAGGGGTACTTGACGCGGATGGCAAAATTAAAGACTTTTAAATTTTCATGACTGAGAATTTTGGGTTAAGACCGAGAGGTCGAAAAAAAAGGGGGGTTTGCGCGATTAATACGGGCAGCGGTGTGACCGTAGCCGCGTGCCTATGGAAACTGAATGAAATAAATGAAAAATGACACATGTTGTCGGCCTAATTCGTAATTCTGTATAAATGATTCAAAGGCCAAAGCACACATTTTTCAACGAGTTTGATTTACGAAAATTCAATAATTTTACTTTACTTCCCAAGGGTGTAAAATTTTCAACCATAATTTGCATTGCAGTAGGCTGAAAATCGATACCGATTTAGCGATATTTTTTTTATTAATGTGAACAATTTTTTTTTTTTTTTAATAATATTTATAACTCAGAAATGAGGAAAATAAATTAAGGGGACACACCTGTGTTTATGTTAATGAATGCAAAAACATGAAAATTAAGGATTAATATTAAAATTTTTTGTTTCTGATGTTAAAATATACAATGAAAAATATGTCTGTAGTTCCTTTTATTATTAAAATTCATCCTAGATTAGCATATAAACACAGGTGTGTCTCTTTAAATAATAAATTTTGCTCATTTTCATTTACAAACATGTCCTTAAACAATAAGTTTTGTTAATTTTCATTTAACAAACATGTTTTCCAAATAAATAAATGGAAATGTAAGGAGTTGAAAACTGATTGGATGTGTGACGAGTGATTTTTCTCAAGACTCTAAATAAATTATTTCAGTAAGTTTTTCGAATAATCTTCAAGTTTTTAATGTCATTATGAGAAAATTTAATTTCTTTTTTTATAATTTTAAAAGGAAATGGCTGGATACAAAATACATAACTTTGTGGCTGTCTGGGTATTGGCATCACTCTATACTAATCAATGTTATTGCTCTGATAATTTCTTTCTCTCTTTCATAGTTCATTTTATAGTTCATTTGTTCTCTTTCGTAATTTTCGGTTTACAGGAAATATTTCCTTTTCTAACAACAAAAATACTTGAGTAAAATTAACTGCTTGAAACAGAATTTTCATACCAGCGGCCCGAAATTGACTACTTCCCGGCCGCTGCGCAAAACGGGAAGAGCTATTTTCGGGCCACGGGGTATGAAAAATAGTATACAGGCCTAAGCCGCGAAAAAAGAAAGCCCCAGGGCACGTGTTTATTGGCCTCGGCTTCGCCTCGGCCACTAATTACACGAGCCCTGGGACTTTTCTGTTTTTCGCGGCCTAGGGCAGTAATATACTATTGTGTACTCCAGTGCATACATATAGCATTGAAAGGAATACATTGTTAACATCTAAGTCTCGAGTTAGTCACAAAACCACGTGGATCCCAATGACTTGAATGCACGAGGACCCACAATCTCTGCCACACCTAATGCAGTAGCAGCCGAATACAGCAGCTCCTTCATTTATCAAAACAAGCAAAGCACGCCAGCCTCACTGTGTTGTTTTCATCGAGTGTAACATAGTAATAACAAGAATTACGGTGCGTGTTCGTGTGTGCGTTAGGGAAATCTTTTTTTTTCGTCGTTACAAACAAGTATTTTTAACACAAAGGATGAGGATCGCCATCGAGGGTTGTGCTCACGGCGAGCTCGACAAGATTTACGACACGGTGCTCGATTGCGAGAGACGCGAGTGTAAGAAAATCGATTTGCTCATCTGCTGCGGCGATTTTCAATCCGTCAGAAATGACCAGGATCTCAAGTGCATGGCTGTGCCGGACAAATTTAAGAATAAGGGCTCGTTCTACAAGTGAGTAACACAAGAATATATGACTTATTTTTCATGCAATCTGAGGTTATGTTAAAACTTGAATGCTGCATGCACACTTCATTGAGAAGCCAAATTCATTCTTCAAACTTGAGTTCATATTGTGCGTTATTGACATTGGTTTGTTTTTCGTTTGACATTGCAGGTACTACTCCGGTGAGAGATTAGCTCCAGTTTTGACCATTTTCATCGGTGGCAATCATGAAGCATCAAATTATCTTCAAGAATTGGCCTACGGTGGATGGGTAGCTCCCAATATTTATTACTTGGGATATGCCTCGGTCATTAATATAGCTGGTATACGTATTGGCGGTATATCAGGTATTTATAAGAGCCACGATTTTATGAAAGGACATCATGAATATCCTCCGTACAACGATGGTTCAGTGAGGAGTGTGTATCACACCAGAAACTTAGAAGTTTTTCGATTGAAACAGGTAAATGAAAGTTACATTCTAACATTAAAATCATTGCAAAAATCTCAACTAATGTTGTATTAATTCAGCTTTCAGGAAAACTTGACATCTTTATTTCTCACGACTGGCCTTCGGGTATAGCAGAGTACGGCAATTTGAATGCATTGTTGAGGATAAAGCCATTTTTCCAAAGAGATATTGAAACCAATAAACTTGGTAGTCCACCATTGATGGAAATATTGAGAAAGCATCATCCAACATATTGGTTTGCAGCTCATTTGCATTGTAGATTTGATGCAACAGTTAAGAATCAAGATAAAACTAAGACCACAACATTTTTAGCATTAGACAAATGTTTACCTCGCAGAAAGTACTTTGAATTTATCGATATAAAGCATGATACAAGTTTGCCAATTAATATATCATATGATAAAGAATGGCTTACTATATTATACTTGACAAATCACTTATTAAGTATAAAAAATGGCATGTGCTATATGCCAGGGGTATCACAAACAGAAAGATATAATTTCACCCCCACGCAAGAAGAAAAGCAGTTGATTCTTAAAAAATTCAATTCTGACTTGACTGTGCCAATGAATTTTCAACAGAGTGTAAGTGCATTCAGCACTAATGAACCTCTAAATCGATTTGCATTCAAACCTAATTTAGCCATTAATAATCAAACTACTGAATTTTGTGAAAAACTTGATATTCATGATCCTTTTGAACTCATAAAAAAAACGCCAGATTTTGTTCAAACACAATCTAAGCAAGGTCATATCAATCAAAATAAATCTTGTCAAACCAAGGTTAATAATTGTACAAGACACATAGATTCACCACCAGCTTCAATTCAAAGGACTCCATTAGTTATGCCCCCTGCCAAAAACAGAACAGAACAATTTTCAAATGAGGTTGCAGGTTCAAACAAAAAAGATGTCGAATGTCTTCATACAAGTGCTAAAATCATAGATAAAAGTAATCTTGGTTTTTTCATTGATACGTTGCCAACTCCATTTTCAAAAACTCCATTACTTTTACCACCTGTAAAAAATCAAGGCACTTCTTCTCCAAGTGATGCATTTACCAAAATTTCTTTGGCAGAATCAAATAAAAAAGACACTCAACATTCAGATATAACTAATCGAATTGTAGATACCAGTAATCTTGGTTTTGTTATAGATACAGCACCAACTCCTATTAAACGAACTCCGTTAGTTTTACCACCTGCCAAAAAATACTCCGACATTTATCAAAATAATTCATTTACAGAAGATTCTTCTGCTGAATCGAATAAGATAGATATTGTTAATATCCATTCATCTGAAGGAGTCGAAGACAATAGTAATTTTGGCTTCTTTATAGATACTTCGCCAACTCCAATATCAAATAATTCATCGGAGTTAACACCTAACAAAAAAAATGCAACTGTTTCTTCTCCAAGTAATTCACTTTCACATTCCTCTGAAAATTCAGAAAAAAGAACCAGAGGAGTTTTAACAAATGAAAAATATCATTTGACAAATACCAGGGATGTTCAAATTAAACGATTTAAAAGAAGAAATGAGGCTTCATATAGAACAGATGAGTCTGATTTGAGCATGTAAAATAACTTACCAAATTTTTATAATTAATCTTAATTTGTCTAAGTTGTCACCAGAGTACAAATAATTGCAATTTTTGAATATTATTTTTTCAACTAATTGATTCATCATGAATAAATAAATAAATATTTGTCAACTTAATCGTGTAGAATTGAGATTATGTATTCCTATGTACTAGTCTAGAAGAAATTTGAATAAGTTCATATGAATTTTGATGTGCATTAATTAAATTAAAATGACATTAGGTGTAGGAAATTTGATTTTATAAAGTTTTGATCGCAGTCCAAAAATACGTAATTAACAATGTAATAAACTTATTAGATATGTACACTCTTTTACAAATAGATAGTAAATATTTTGTAAATATATAAAATATAATAAAACTTTACTTTACAATGATAAACTTGAATTTATAGTTTAATATTTATTTTACCATCATAAAAGTTTCAGAAAATTAAAAATTTAAAATTGTTGACCTCATATCGTATCAGTTTTTTTTAGTATCCACTATGCAATTATTAGACTTTGAACTTGTGAAATTCATTATGGATCCAATAAAAATCTGCCTTCGTTCATAGTTTTCAATTAAATTACTGATAATTTCAAACAAACTTAAATTTTAATCAATATACTCCTTTTATAATCTAAAAAGTATTTAAATGTAACTGTAAGCATTAATGAATCAATAAAAGGTTTATTCGACTTATAGCTTTCTAATAAATTCTAGTTTCTGTCAATACTTACACATAAAATTAAATGTTTTCCAATTTTTTACAATAATATTGTACTAAAATAAGCTTTCATTGTAAGTATAATAATTTCATTTCAACTCTTTTAAATTATTATTTTTTAATGCAAATACAAAGTTCAACTTTTAAAAATAAGTCTTTGCATTGGTTAAATGAGCTAAAAGTCATTGAAATGTTCATCGAATAAAAAATTAAAATTTTTCAAGTTCAAATTCTATTTTCATATTTAATTATAATTGTATTCAGTAATTTTAAAAAGTTATAATTTCCCTTCTCAGAACATTACATACCATAATTTTATAACAAGTAGAAAATTAATGTTCTAATCATCATATATTTTTGAAAAATTTATTGTAATATACCATATGAAAATTATTTATTGTCTTGCTATGTTGATTATTCAATTATACACAAAAAAAAGTGAAAGGGTCAGTTAAAAATTAATCATTCAAACAGTAATTTAAAATAATATTATCAATTTATTAAGTGTCAAATTCATTCAAATACAAAAAAATAATTATATTACAATGTTTTTCTGTTATCGATTAATTATAAAACTACTATGTACAACTTTTTGATGTTTAATTAAATCAATTTTATATTTTTCCTCTAGCATCATCGGAAGAATAGGAGAAATTAATTAATGTTCTCCTCCCTTTCTCGTCTTTTTGTGGCTCGTACTGTAGTAGTAGTAGTGCTTCAACTGCATCTCTTCTTTCTTTTACTTTTTGCTGCAATGTACGTAAGGGTACACCGTAAGCTTTGGCGACCAGAGATTTTGAACGACCTCTAAACGCTAATATAATAGCTATTTTTAGGGCTTGTGGACTGTATTTTTTATATTTTTTGACCTTTTCTTTAGATTTTTTTTCGAGTTTTTCTGAGAATTTTTCTTCAAATTCTTTCTTAATTGTGAGGTCTAGTGGTTGATCATCT